TTCCGGTCAAGGGCATGTACCTTGGTTGCGGGCACATCCCCAGAAGGGGGTATGCAAGAGGCAGCTGGTCGATGTTTCTCTCTCATCGACATTTCTAACTCTCTGTCCCTTTCAATTCCTCTCTGTGTAAAATCAATAAAATATATTAAAAAAAAAAAAAAAAGAAGAAATGGAAGATGTTTTAAAAGTCAAAATTAGCATAAAGGAACGCAAACTATCCCAGGATGGGGTGGGTGGCCTTTTCTTGGCTAAACTGCCTCTGAAGTGTGGACTGAAATGAGGTCTCCCTGGAGAGACGAGCAGGCCCCACTCTTCAGGACAAGAGCTCTCGATGGACGGGTGAGGTCATTCTTTTCAAAAATAAAACATCTGGCCGTAAAACATGTATCCCTACAAATGGTATATCTTTAACGACTGCAACAACAGAAGCGTTCCCATAACACACACACAGCTGTATCACATTCCAAACCGCTGTCTAATAAAAGCTAAGGGGGAAATTTTAAAATGGAGAAACATTAATATGTTAGGAAAGGGGTTAATAGCTCTTCTCAAACTTTTCTGAAATGTGTAATTGGGCAAACAATATAAATATGACTCCGACAAAAAGAGAGGGGGAAAAACAAGCCTTGGAAACTAGCCTCACTGATTGGAGGCTATTTAAAACAGAAAGACAGGATTGATTATTGAGCAGGGTTACTGAAGGAGTGAGCATCCGACACTGGGGCAGCACTGGGGATGGCTGTCAACAGTGGCTGCGGTCCACGCCAAGTCAAAACAGTTATAGCATCTGACCTGGTAACCCCACCCGTTGCAATCTGGGGAATGGTTCCTTATTGATTAAACAGGTCATTGAGATGGGATGGGCCAGGGTGAGCTTGGCAGGACTGAGGGAAGCCATCCATGACTGAGATCTGTCCCTGGCTAACTCCTGGGACCCGGCCCATGGGAAGTGTGGGCTGTGAGCTCTCGGCTAAAGCCACAGGTGAAGCAATGAAGAAAACAAAAATAAAAAACACGCTTCTGTCTGCCTTTCTTCACTCTCGTTATGCAGCTCTCGACATCATGAGGCTGGGCTGTTACTGCATCTCTGGGTGTGATGTTTCTTCACATGTCACAACTGCAATCATCGTTTTGTCTGCCTCACTGAAATGCGTTTTAAAGATTTTGACATTGAATATTCATTGCTCCTCTCCTCCTTCCTCCGACCAGTGATACATGTGATACGTGTCAAGTTGAGTCGGTCCCACCTTATTCGAAAACAAGTTCTCTGGGGACTGCGGGGGGGGGGGGGGGGGGGGAGGCAGGTGCATGTGTCCCAGGCACAGCGCATTCAGAGTGGCTGAACTGTGGCTGCAGCTGTGCATCACATCGCACTCAGGCTCAGGCCCAGTTCCTCTGGTGCTCACAGGCAGCTTACTGTGGGTGTTCAGCTCAGACGGTGAGGTTTGAATAAAAATATTGTTAGAGGGAATAAACAGAGCTCAGATGGCCAGGGATCTGTCAACGGTGTTTGTTCGAAAGGCAACATGGGTTTTGGCTGCAGACAGGCCTGGGTCCACAGCCTAGCTCCCCACTCATTAGCGGTGTGATCTTGGGTTAGGTCCGTGGTCGGCAAACCGTGGCTTTCGAGCCTCATGCAGCTCTTTGGCCCCTTGAATGTGGTTTTTCCACAAAATACCACGGCCTGGGCAAGTCTATTTTGAAGAAGTGGCATTAGAAAAAGCTTATGTTTTAAAAAAAAAAGGCTCTCAAAAGAAATTTCAATCGTCGTACTGTTGATCTTTGGCTCTGTTGACTAATGAGCTTGCCGAGGTCATTCATCTCTATGAGCCTCAATTCCCTCACCTGTGAAATGGGGATGATAATGTACTTAATGAGGTTATTACAAGATCATACTACCCATCTACAGCATCCAGTACACATATCAGATGCCCAGTTTTATAAAGTAACCACTTTTATTTGTCTATTAGTGTGTGTGTGTGTGTGTGTGTGTGTAAACAACAGAAATTTAAAGAAAGAGAGGTGCACATTAAGCTGGAAACAGCCTGTCTGTTACTGAGGTGGTAAGAGGATGCCCACGGACACACAGAGGGAAGCCGTGTGTCTAAAGGCGAGATGACTCACTGTGGGTTACACTTTTTTACTGCATCTTGGCAGCGCCTTGTAAGAAAGCAGTGCCAGTCTGTTCAGTGTTTTGCTGAACGGTTGATGTTCAAGTCCAAGGTGAATTGCCGCAGTTAGCTCTTCACCCGGAGCAGTAATAACATACCGAATCCTTCTGTGATGCCTGATCCATTACAGCAGGTGCAGGCCAAACACTATTTCCAAACACATTTGCATATACTTTGCGGAGATGAGAGTTAGACCATTGACACCACCTGTAGAGAGACTTTCCAGGAAAGCTCCAGCACCTGTGTGGGCCTCGGGCCCGTACACCTCCTCACAAAGCCCTACGGTGGCCCAGCATTCCTCTCCCGGGGGCTGGCTCCCGCTGGCATCCTCAGGTGGTCTGCCCAGTCTCCCTGCCTGTGTCCCTGCTCACCTGTAGTTGTTCATTCACCAGGGATCTCAGAGCCCGTCTTTGAGCCTGAGTCACAGCATGAAATAGCATCAGGGATGAAACCAGATCTGTGGCCCAGGCTTCACCAAAGCCTGAGGTCTCCAAGCTCTGCCCCCGAACCCTGCCCCCTTGGTACACTTCCTGGAACACCCAGGAGGCCTAGCCATGCCTGAGCCATGCCCGGCTGGCAGTTTCTCCCGGGTTGGGAGTGGAGATGGTGAGAATGAAAGAAAGGAAAATCCCTTCAAGAGGATGGGAGGATCATCCCCATCAGTGAAATGAGCTGTTAAGAGGGTAGGCTCTGGCCGGCTGGTGTGGCTCACTGGTGGAGGGTTGTCCCATTAACCCAGAAGTTGCTGGTTCGACTCCAGGTCAGGGCACATGCCCAAGTTTTGAGCTCGATCCCCAGTAAGGGGCGTGCAGGAGGCAGCAGATTGATGTTGATGTTTCTATATCTCTCCCTTCCCTTCTCCCTTCCTCTCTCTCTCCAAAAATCAATAAAAACTTAATAAATAAATAAATAAATAAATAAATAAATAGGCTCTGGAGCCAGACTGCCTGGGTTCAAACCCAGCTCTAACCTTTACTAGTTATGTGACCTTGAACAAGTTACTTCATTCTTTTGTTCCTAAATGTCCTCGCCTATAAAATGGAGATAACAGGACCCACCTGATAGGTCGTTATGAATATTAAACAAGTTGCTGCACTGATAAAGAGCTCAGAACTGTGGCTTCCACATGTTATGTGTTAAATAAATATTGATGATGATGACCAAAAGCCTCCAGCAAAGGGCTGACACCCAGGGCTTGCCCTCCCACCCTACCCCTAAGTTGCAGTCCGTTTCACAACCCCTACATCAGTGTTTCCCAAAGTGTGGTACCCATACCCCCAGGGGTACGGGGAAGAGTTTGGTGGGGGTACACGTTGCACCGGAGTTTGGTGGGGATATGCACTGCACCGTGCTTAGCTGCACCTAATTCTACGTTCTCATGAGTACGAGGGGTACTCAGCGTTACGAAAATTATAGAAGGTCAAACGTTTGGGAAACACTGCCCTACATCACTGTGCCAGAACGTCACGCCTTTCCTTTTTTGTTTCCACCACCGGAAGCTTAGAATGGGGACTTTCCCAACCGAGCCTCCCTTCCTGCTTCTCTCAGGCTAAATCTTACCTCCTGAGTCACCCTCCTCACAGAGTGCAGGGGGTGTGGGTCAGGTATCACAGGGGATGGCTGTTTGCTGCCTCCCCAGACTCAGGCTGGTTAAAGGCAAGGCCAAAACCCTCCTGTCTCCATCCCGTGGGACTCTGAAGAGCGCCTGGCACTCAGCCTATCAGAGGTCCATCCTCCGGCATGGCTGACTCTTACCATCGATGTCAGTGCTGAGTAACACCTGTTTGGTAGAGAACTCGAGAAGGTCCTCTTGGGTAGCACATGGAAATCACGTAGCCAAGTGCTGCCACGTGTGGTGATTGTCCCTGTGGCTGCTGTAGCAGCAGCAGAGCCCAGGCCTCGGAGCAAAACAAACTTGGACTTGCAGACCAACTCTGGCACCTAAAACCTGCCGGGACCTCAGTTTCCTCAACTATACATGGCCATTATAATACCTGTCTCCAGGCAAAAGAGTAAGCAATCAACAGATAGCAGATGGCTGCTCTTTCTCCTCCACGGCTGACTCATTTGGGGACCTGGCTCAATTTATCTCACTTCTCTGCACCTAGGTTCCGCATCTGTAAAATGAGTACCCGGAACTAGTTGATCTCTGTGTTTCCTGCCAGAGCTACGTTTCAGAATTTTTGAATTCACCATCTTTTTTTCCCCTGAAACCTCATTCTATGTCCCTGAGAGAGGTTCTTTTCTTTTTTTAAAAAATATTTTATTGAATTTTTTTTTTTTTTTTACAGAGAAGAAGGGAGAGGGAGAGTTTAGAAATATTGATGAGAGAGAAACGTTGATCAGCTGCCTCCTGCACACCCCCTACTGGAGATGTGCCCACAACCAAGGTGCATGCCCTTGACCGGAATCGAACCTGGGACCTTTCAGTCCACAGGCTGATGTTCTATCCATTGAGCCAAACCGGTTAGAGCAGAGGTTCTTTTCTTGATAACTATTCCCTGTTTCGATATATCAAATTGTTTCGCCCCTGGGACTCTCTCTCTCACTGCCTCTGTGGAGGCTGTAGCATGGTCCAGACTCGGGACCTCTGCCCTAGTCCAGGGCCACGCATACCACAGGACCATGTGTGAGTGGCACCCAGGTGCTGCGCTCCCTCCTGGCTGGGCTGCTTCCACAGTGCGGTGAGGTCCTCAGGGCACACAGGGAGGACAGACCCCGCATCCTTTGGGTCTAGGATAAGAAGAATCTGTGTGCAAGAATGAGCAAGTGCGGGTGGTCCGAATGGAGCGTCACACCCACCGCCTCTCCTTTTCTGTTCGGCCCCAGACCCTGCAGATGGGCATCCAGCACTTCTCCGGGCTCTTCGTGCTGCTCTGCGCCGGGCTGGGTCTGTCCATCCTGACAGCCATCGGCGAGCACATCGTGTACCGGCTGCTGCTGCCACGAATCAAGAACAAGTCGAGGCTGCAATACTGGCTCCACACCAGTCAGGTGAGTGCCAGGGCGTCTTGCTCCGATACTCCCGACGGTCAGAATTCCCGGAGGATCCAGAGCCCCACGTCAGACTGACAGTGACACGTTACCGGGAGAATCGAGGGGGTGTAGACACTCTCTGTGTGCAAGACAGTTCCCTCCATCCCCTTCCGTCACTGTCCCCTTCAGTGAAGCTTTCTCGTAGTGCCTCTTCCTTTTCTGTAACCCTGCACTGCTGCTCACAATGGAAGCAACAGCATTGGGTTTCGTAAAGCCTCGTTTCACTTAATAGTGACAATCTGAAGAGATGTTGGGAAAGATTTTTTTTCCCCTGCAGATTCTTTTCATGCCAAAATTGAAACCTATTTAATGAGCTTGAAGGCCCTGATTCCCTCTGAACCCACCGGCCCTGGTTCTCTCTGCATTTCCGTCAGTGGGACGGAAAATGGGGCCACTTTCGCCCCATTCATCTGTTCTGCTGACCACTTGGTGGTCAGAGTACTTTCTTTCCTCGATAGCTTACTATCGCTGGATTGGTTACACTTGAGCCCTGTTTTACTACCTTCATCCTGGGAAGTATTTGGTCTCTTAGGGAGAACGCCGGTCTGCCTAATGCGGCTCAGTGGTTGAGGGTCGAACCATGAACCAGAGGTCACTGGTTTGATTCCCAATCAAGGCGTATGCCCTGATTTCAGGCTCAGTCCCTGGTGGGGGCTCTCTCATCAATGTTTGCATCTCTCTACCTCTCTCCCTTCCTTTCTCTAAAATCAATAAAGACATGTTTGTTTGTTTTTGTTTGTTTTTTAAAGGGGGGGGGAGATTAGTTTTGTTCTCAAGTGTTATTTCCTTCTTTGTTTTAGCTGCTGGGATGTTCAGACTTGTTTTTTTTTGTGTGTGTTTTTTGTTTTGGGGTTGTTTTTTTTTATGCGGGCATCCTGGTATAGTTAACAACAGAGTTGGTATGAACCAGGCCCAGAATGCCAGCCAGCTTCCGGCTGCTGTTCTCCCAGCAGTATAACGTGACTGGGCAGACTTTTATTTATTTATTTTTTTACTCACCTTTACCAAGTGCCACACCTTCGTCACGACAGCTCTTCTATATATCACATGCCTTTTTACAACCCAGAGCTTTTCTGAGCTTTAAATTACTTTTTTCCCCTCCACACAGAATAACTTAGAATTCTTGTTCTCTTGAGATTTGGGGCTGAATGTTGATCAGTTTCGGGCACCTCTGGACATTTGTTTACAGAGGCCCAGGCTTGTATTGGGGAGATAAACCGTTGCATCTCGGGCGGTGCTTTGACCCTGACTGTGTGTGTTCCTAGTAACCTCTATGTGTGACTCTGTTCTCTCCGCCAGAGATTGCACAGAGCACTAAACACGTCATTTGTAGAGGAAAAGCAGCCGCATTTCAAGACTAAACGTGTGGATAAAAGGTAAGAAGAAACCAGGTTTTTTCTTTAGATTTGTTCATGTAAAATGTTAGAGGTGAACTGAGACTCTATGCTCAACAACCTTTTAGACTAAACCATGGCTCTGAGGACTGAGTCCTTTGCAAGAATTTCATATATCGGGCCTCTAGTGTATTAATAATTCAGATAGATTAGGGCCAAGTTGTTGCTAACCATAATTGGTAAAAGTAGATGTAGTTTCAAATAGAAATAAAACAGATGGAAACCATATCTGTACATCTATGAACACTGAACGGCAGCATAGGTTAAAAATGCAGGAATGGTCTCTAAAGTCGAGCAGCTTGGGTCCAAATCCCACCTCAGACACTTACAATATGCATGGCCTTGGGCAAGTTATGTAGCCTCTCCATGCCTCAGTTTCCTCCTTGTGTGAAACTGAGTTAAAAACATACCTGCTCCCTAAAGATGCTGTCAGAACTAAATGAAATAATACACAGAAAGCCCTGAAAATAAAACTGTTTTAGCAATTGCTCTTGTGTACAAAATACACGTAATACAATCCATGGCTTCTGCAGGTAATTAATTCTCACGATATTGCCTCTGGGGCATGTTTCCACGCCCCACTCTGTTCTAGCACTCCCAGCGTTGAAATATGCAGCAGACGTGTTCTGCTTCATCCATTTCCTGGCATTCGTACCGCAAACTCCCCAGAAAATAGCATCTCGTTACCAGGAGCTAACAAGCATTCAATGCACAGATGACATTTGAACATCAAAGCTTCACACCTTCCCCACATCCAACCTGGGGAACGAAGGTTGCCTGTTCCCTCGTGGTGGGTGGCTAAGGATGTCAGAAGCATCTGGGTCTGGCTCCTGGCTTGGCTGCCTACGTTTCTGGTTCATTCATATGCCAGGGGCCTCGGTGGAGGGCATTACCTGCCAGCAGCTCTGTCATCGATGACAGATCCTGGGCTCAGAGCTAGGCCTTCTGGGTAATTTGGGAATCTGACATGCACTTCTGTAGTAGAAGACAAGGGAAGAGAGTGGAAAGCATGATTTGTTTTTCTTGTTTGCACCTCCTCTGATACCGCCGCAGTGCCCTTCTCTCCATGTTGCATCTAGCTTGTCGGGATCATTTCCGCTTTCTCTTCCCAGTTGGCGAGCCGCCCCCCTGCCGCTCAGTCTGTGGTCTTCCTGTACCATAAACTGCAGCCTTGAGAGCAACAAGCTCTAGGCTGATGGGGTCACAGCTGTTCTGTGTCATACATGTTTTCTATAATTATTTTGACATAAATGTTTAACCGGAGGAACGCAGAAGGCACAGCAGCAAAGACATCATCTCATAATGATGAGGCATTTGTTTTCCAACCTCATAGATGCAGGAAGCCCAGCAAGCCCAGTTCCAAGGGTGACGTGAATCCTAAACACATCTCTTTCAGCTAAACTGAGGGCCAAATGTGTCTCTCACTCAGCTTACCCACTTTTCTTGGCAAATCCCCTTTCGGAACCCCTCGTTTTGAGAAGACCCTGAGGCAGAACACATCCTCGTGGGTTGTGTTGGGTCCACATTTCCTGTAACCAACACCCACCTGTAACCTTTCAAAGGCGGGGAGTGTTTGAGGTCCCACCGCTGTCATGCACCTTCTGAATGGCCTAGTGCAGTGGTTGGCAAACTCATTAGTCAACGAAGGCAAATATCAAGAGTACAATGATTGAAATTTCTTTTGAGAGCCGAAAACTGACTTCTGTGCATGGGCCACGAAGTTTTAATTGCACTGTATGTGCACGCCCGCACGTGGTATTTTGTGGAAAGAGCCACACTCAAGGGCTCCAACACACAAGATGGCCACCCCCATGTGGTCAAAGATGGCTGCCCCCATGTGGACACAAGATGGCCACCACAGATGGCCGGAAGGGGAGGGCAGTTGTGGATGATTAGGCCAGCAGAAGAGGGCATTTGGGAGGGACCAGACCTGCAAGGGGGGGCAGTTGTGAGTAATCAGGCCAGCAAGGGAGGACAGTTGCAGGAGACCCAGGCCTGCAGGTGAGGCTAGTTGGGAGGAACCAGGCCTGCAGAGCAGAGGAGTTAGGGAAACCAGACCGGCAGGGAAGGACAGTTGGGGGCAACCAGGCCTGCAGGGGAGGGCAGTTAGGGGTGAACAGGCCAGCAGGAAGGATAGCTAGGGGTGACTGGGCCAGCAGGGGAGGGCAATTGGTGGGGACCAGGCCTGCAGGGGAGGGCAGTTAGGGGTGACCAGGCCAAAAGGGGAGGGCAGTTAGGGGTGACCAGGCCAGCAGGAGTGGGCAGTTGGTGGGGACCAGGCCTGCAAAGAAGGGCAGTTGGAAGGGACAAGGCCTGCAGGAGAGGGAAGTTAGGTGTAACCAGGCCTGCAGGGAAGGGAAGTTGGGGGCAACCAGGCCTGCAGGGGAGGGCAGTTGAGTGCGACCAGGCCAGCAAGGGCAAGCAGTTAGGGGTGACCAAACAGGTAGACAGGTTGGAAGCCAGCCATCCTGGATTGTGAGAGGGTTGTCCCACTGGGTATGGGCCTAAATGGGCAGTCGGACATCCCTTGAGGAGTCCCAGATTAGAGAGGGTACAGGCTGGGCTGAGGGACACCTCTCTCCCCGTGCACAAATGCCATGCACTGGTCCTCTAGTCCTATCTCATAAAGAGGAATGAGCTAATTGACTGCCATGCCCTCACAGATGACGGCACCCACAGACATAAGATGGTGGCACCCAGTTCCCTCAGTTCCGCTGGGGTGGCAGGCATGCAGCAAGGCTGGGCCTGCCCAGCGCACCTGCCTTCAGAGTCCCCCAGTCCCTTTAGACCTCCAACCACCCAGGGCCACCCAAAACTCAGGTAACCAGGGACAGCCGAGGCTTACGCTGCCGACAGTGGCAGCAGCAGAGGTGTGATGGGCCTCGCCTTCCCCTGATCTCTGGGTCACCTTCTGCCCCTGAGGGCTCCTGGACTGTGAGAGGAGGCAGACCAGACCGAGGGAACCCCCTCCAGTGCATGAATTTTCATGCACCGGTCCTCTAGTTGATAAATAAATGGATTACTAACGTGTGTGTTTGAGGAAAGGCTGGGAAGAATTTTAGGCCATAGTCTAAAAGTTGATGTTGCTTCTATTTTTATTTAAAGCAGAAAAAAAAAATGTTGCAAGAGAATTTACAATATATAGTAAATTTATTTACATAGAGTCTTTGGTTTCCTTTAACATGTGATTTCATGTAAGTTTTGGTCTCTCCTTCACCCCACTGGGTTTCTAATACACCCCCCTTTTCCCTTTGCTCTCACTCCAAGTTACACAAAAATTGTAAACCATATAACACACATTGCAAATAAGATTGTTTTGAAATTATTCAAACTCAATAGAAAATCAGTTGAATAAAATTTTTAAAGGGAAACATAGGCTAGAAGGAGAATTATAGCCACATCTCTGATCCAGGTATAAGTGGGTTCAGTATAGAATTTTTACCCAGGCCAGCATACATGAGAGGTAAGGTCTAGCACCCCCCGCTCATGTATATGAGACTTAAACTATGAGAAATGTAAAAGAACTACAGGGTGGTTTGGAATGTGTTTGTATGTTTTAATAGCTTGGAGCATGTAGCAGTTAATTTTTACTGTAAGAAATTATCTCAATACTTAATGTGTTTAAACAACAGTGAGTTGCTTATGAATCTATGAGTTGCTTATGAATCTGTGAAACTTGGTTGATCTTGGCTGCATTTGCTCACATGTCTGCAGCCAGCCTGTGGGGCGGTGGGGGGGCGGAGGTGGGGGAGGGAAGAGGGTAGCAGCTCATGGCTGGCACTGTCTGTGATGGCCTTGGCTGGGCCACCTGAGAAGACTGGGACTCTTTCCCGTGGTGTGCTGCCATCTAGTGGACTAGTCTGGACTTGCTCACGTGGCAGCAGCGGTTCTGAGAGACAGTGGAAGTGTATGGTTTCTTAAAAGTTTGGGCGTGGAACTTGTGCCACTTTCTCTTGCCCAGAACAGTCATGAGACTGGACTAAATTCAAAGGGGAGAGATGAAAGGAAGAACAAAGGATTGTGACCACTTTTGCCATCTACCAGAGAGAGAAATAAAATGGAATCATCCTATGAAGTCATTCGTGTAACTGAATCAAGACTTTGTTATCCCCCCACCTGCAGGTCCTCTCCTCCTCTTCCTGGCAAGTGAGAGTCCAGGCATAAAGTCTCGCTTTAGTTATACAGATAGGGACCAAGGCACAAGGACCAGAGAGAGCGTTTTTATTCTGTTTGGCCCTGTGGAAGATTGCAAAAGTGGTCCTCTCCTCCTCTCCCCTCCCCTCCTTCTCCTCCCCCTCCCCCTCCTGCCTTCTCCTTCCCTCCTCCTACACTTCCTATTTCTCCTTCTCCTCCCTTCTCCTCCACCCCTCTTCCTCCTCCTTCTCCTTCTCTCCCTCCTTGTCCTCTTCCTCCTCCTCCAACAAGGCTGGAAGAAATCAGCAGCTTTGCTGCTTGGATTCTAATCTGTCATTATAGCAAGAAGCTCTTCTCACTGCAATTTACTGTCAAAGTGTTTCAAAAACCAGATCCTCTCCTTCCATGCCTGGCCAGCAGTGACTCGCTGGCCTTCTGCGGCCATCCCTCTGAGATGGTGGTGGGCAGTTCGACACGATCCTGATAGAGCGTTGGTGTCTGTTTCTGTTTGACTTTCATTATCCAGAACTTGAGGCTTTCTTGTGTTTTGCTTCTGCTGTTGTTGATGATGGTATCGTTGTTAAGCTGTCAGTCCCAACACACATAAAGTCATCCCTATGATGGGAAATGTGTTGCTGAAACCTGCAACGAATAGGCTTTTATTCTCAAACTCAAGCAGTAAACATCAGGCGGTCCTGCGGGGCCGACAGGTGAGTCATATGATAGTACCTACCCTGAGGCGCATGCGTAGAGTCTCACAGCTGAAGAAACTGATTCCTGCTTTTCCTAAAGCTCCGTCTTTCTAGCCACAGACCCTTTCAAGGCAGTGCTGATCTCTGAGCAGTTCGGGCAGGAAGGGGCTAAAAAGGCAGCTAAGGTTCTTGTGTGGGAATATGCCATCAGCCCTCCAGCGCATACACCCATTCCGGTTTCAGGGAAGCAAAAGACTTGCTAAGACCTAGACTTTCAGCTGTACTGGCTTTTTTAATCCTCTTGGTGCGAGCTAGCAGGCAGTCTGTCCACTGCTTCGTTCCTGCATCTCTGAATGTGTCCCCAGCCCTATGGCATCCACCCAGGACACAGCTCGCAGATGGGAAGTGGCGTGGAAGGTCAGCCTCTTTGTTTCCTAGGTCCGACGTGGGACCCCGTCAGCTCTCCGTGTGGAATACTGCCCATCAGTGTCACGACATCCCACGAAAATACATCTTCAGTGAGGAGGGAGGACAGAACCCGCCGGGCCTGGGGACCCCCCAGGACATCCCCCTCCCTCCACGGCGGAGAGAGCTCCCCGCCTCGCTGACCACCAACGGGAAGGCGGACCCGCGGCAGGGAGCGCGGACCTCGGTGATGCAGGAGCTGGTGGAGCTGGAGAAGCAGATCCAGGTGATCCGGCAGGAGCTGCAGCTGGCCGTCAGCAGGAAGGCGGAGCTGGAGGAGTACCAGAGGGCGCGCCGGACTCCTGAGTTCTAGGCGGCCACGCTGCGCCCCCTCGGCCCTGGCCTTCCTCGGAGCCCTGGAGACACCTGGGGATGCTCCTTTGTAACCTCTGGTGAAGGTATGGGGGACTGAGGTCTGGGTCTTAGAGGTCAAGTCCGCCCTGTCTGGCAGCAGCTCTTCCCACGCTCACCCTCTAGGTGTCCAGGGTAGCAGCCTTCCAGGGCAGGAATCCTTAACTAGTCAGGAGCGAGCTCTGGGCAAGGGATCTGCGAATAACAGACATAACAGACAATCCCAGGTCTGCTAGCCCCCAACCTGGTGCCACAGGGCTACTGGGTTTCAGCTCTTTCTCTGCACTGACAAGGGATGCAAATTGGTTACTCATTCCCTTGTCTTACTGGGTGGCTGGTTTTATTCTCGGTATAGAGCAGGGTTGCCAGGGCTGTGGTTTTTGATACAACTCCCCGATCTAGATTTGTTCCTGCTTTCTGAGTGGGGAACAGGGTCAGGGCTAGAGAAGCTTAGGGCAGCGAAGTGGGTGTTTCCAGACATTGGCTTGAGCTCATCTGTATTGCAGCTGGCCCCGGCTTGATTGGATCCCGTAGAGCGTCGTTTCTCTGAAGGTCCGAGCTCTCTGGCACCATCCTGACATTTAGTAGGAATATGTCTACATGCCATTACGAATGGGGACAGGGATGAGGTGAGCAGGGACAGAGGACAGGCCAAAGAGGCGTTGAAAACAGGCGCCGTGCTTCCAGAACAAAAGCTCTGGGCCAGAAAGGCAATTCGGCTGAGAAATGAACAGGGCCGTCCTTCCAGCCCAGCTCGGCATCTCCATGGCTGTAGAGGAGAGAGAAAAACAGAGAAGGATGTGTGTGGCCTTAGGATGCAGCCAGGGGGTTAGTGAAAGTGTTCCACAGACCATATATGAGGCCGTTTGGATCAGCAGTCACTTGGCTCTTAGATCTTCGAACCCCACATGTGAGCCTCAGGCTTGTGAACATCACAGGCTACACCATCCAGAAATAAGCCCTGTGCTTTTCATTATCTGTGTTGATAAAAAGCAAGTTAGTCTCCCAGCCTCACTCCCGCTTTTCTTTGAGGAGCTGTGAATAGGTTTGGTCCCTCCAGTTCTCTCCCAGTCCTCATCTAATGCTCTTAAAAGATTGCTGTCAAAAAAAAAAAAAAAAAAAAAAATTGCTCAGTAACCTGGCATCCCTTCCCCACTGTGCAACTGCTTGGACATGCAGGAAGGTGAAGACATGGGAACTAGAGAATGTCAATGCCCCATGTGAGTGTAGACAGGAATCGTAGGAACTCGTTAGAATGCTGATAGTCAGGACCCTTCCCCAGAGGATGGGTGGGGACAGGGGAGAGAATGGAGGGGAGCTCAGAAACCTGCTAACCCGCACCCCCAGGTGACTGACATGTGTGGTCCAAAAGTTAGAAACACTAAAAGTGTGGCAGTCCTAGGCAATGGGGGGAGTGAGAAGAGCCTTTCTGAGAGTATTTATTGTTTTAAAATCTCTATTGTTGAGTTTTACATCTGTCCCCTTTTCTTTCCCATTGACCCCTTATAGCCTGCCCCTACCGGCGCCCCCCCTCTTGCCGCCCTCCCCCCCCTCCCCCCGCCTCAGGCCTCCACCCACCCATTGGCTGTGTCCGTGGGTTATGTAAATGTGCATACAAGTTCTTTGTTTGATCTCTTCTCACCCACCCACCCTCCCTCACCTTCCCTCTGAGATTTGACAGTCTGTGTGTGTGTTTTATGAAAACTTCAGCACACACCTGACCCACCCTCCGTTCAGGCCCTCCCACCCACCAGGTACCATTTAGGACTAGGCTTCCTTGTGTTTCAATGATTTATCTTCTCAGTGCTCTTTGTTGCACGCCGATCTATTTGAAAGCCAGTGAGTTTGCAGCGCTGAGTCAAGCCCTGGTGCCCTGTAACAGCTGCCCCTCATAAGGAAGGCATAGCCTACTTTTTGAATGGAATCCCTGCATTGCCACTAAGAGCTACCCAGTCTCCCAGGGAAAGACAGCATCCTAAGCTGTAATTAGATCACACTTCAGTTAATTGTCTGAGAAAACCCAGGGGTGGATGTAGGCAGAGATGCTAATGAGGGAGATGGAAGGGTTCTCGTTAGACTCCATCCATCTCACAGATGGAACAGTTTAGCAGGGAGGGAGGGAGCAGGTGAGCCGTGGAAGCAGGACAGCTCTGCTTTGAAACTCCCTATCTCCCCTTCTCCCCCCTCATTCTCATCCCAGGCCCAGAAGTAGGTTTGCAGCTGCCTTTGAAAGATTATGCCCCTTAGCCCTGCCCACCCACCCGCACCAGCTGGGACACTGTAGACGCAGCTCTGTGCAGCCTGACCTCTGAGTAGCCCGGATGTACAGGTGTACCTCAACTCACGTAACAGCCATGCTCCTAATGTTGTATGGACATTTTTATAACTCAGCTCATCTCCTGACTGTACTCAAGAAGCTGGCTACTTAAAGGAACCCAGAGGTGAATTCTTTTGTAAAGAATCCTTTTGTAATGCAACTAATTGTCCCTTACCGTATCTGTTTTGTAAGTTTGGATTTTTGTATATCGGGTTTACCTTAAGCTTCTCTACTGAGGCAGTGTGAGCAGGGTGATGGCGTGGCAGGCCGCCCTGCCTCTCCACAGAGCAGATAGCCTGTGCACAGCTCTTGGGGTGTCCCCTGAGCAATTGTTTGGCCAGAGCTGGGGCCTGGATGCGGCAATCAGCAGCAGGGAGGGGCTGGCAGCAGGCTTACTGCCATCAGCTCTGCCTGAGATGCCTCCGGGTCTGGGTACAGAAAAACAAAGCATCTTTGCTTGTGGTGAAATGAAGCAGTCTTCATACTTCGTAGTGATTATTTTTATCGGCAGTGATTGAACAGTGTTTTGCAATTTGTGAAACAGTGTGCTGTGTTTTGTAAAATGATTTCATGAAATGGTGGGTGCTTTGGAAACCCTCCTTTCTGTTCTGCTCCACCTGTTCCCTCCATGCCCCAGGCTCCCAACATGAGACCAGTCCTCAGGCAGAGGTGATGTGGGGCTGAAGGTGTAAAGGAGGCTGCTGCTTTCCTCCTCTTGTAGGCTCTTACGAGATTGGGATGGCCAGTCTTTCCCAAGCCCTGGCATTGGGAAACCTGGGATGTGGCATGATGTCGCACACCCCCGCCCTGTTTTCCAAGGCATTCCTGGCACAGGAAGCGCACAGTAAAGCATCTGTGCTTTACTGAGAACAGATCATTCATGTACATAGTAATCAGGGCCCCAGAATGGGAATGCTTCGAGGTAGAAGACAAGGGATTCTTCCAACAGTGAGAGACAAGTTGGGAGAGTGTCCGGGACAGACAAGTGAGGCAGCTACAGGGGCCAGTCAGTTGAGGTCTTTAATGTTCCTGGAGGTGACTCTCCATTACTCATGGATCTTGCTGTCACACCAGCTCTGTAAGCATCTGCAGCTTCCGTGCCAACTGGACAAGTGGTAAGTGGAGTCACTACCAAGAACAGCTTTGCTACATGGGCAGCAAGCTTCTCAGGGTTGGTGGGGTCTGTCAGAGCCTTGGAGCTAGTGAGCACATCTGGGTGTGGAGAGAGAAGGAAAGGAAAGGAAACAACGTAGAGCCTCTCTTCCAACTCAGATGTTTGATCAGGAACCAGGAAATCCAACCGGTCTCCAGAAGAAACTGCTTTCTAGTCATCAAGACCACTTCACCACCTTCACTGTTTAGTTGTTCCTTCCGTCACCCACCGATGCCATCCATCAAATCCAGGATTCCCTCACTTTTAGTTCTTAATCGTTTTATGAAAATAATGTACTTAAAAGTATTTTCTTAAGGTTTGTATGAGTGTTTGCATTGTGTGTTCATTTTAATGTGTTTGCGATCGCTCCGCTCCAGGAAGACCTGCGATGCCGTCTTGTGAGCATGACGTGAACAGGCTGCTTTGCTCCGGCCACTTTTCTTGTACAACCATGTGGGTGGACGAGATGTCCTCCGGTCTTTTCCATCTTTAGTTTCTATGACTGTGGAATAAACGTTCAGATAGAGATTTCACTTTCGAGTGGACTGCTGACGTTGTCTTTGGGAATTCAAATGTTGCTGTTACCAACGCCTTCCTGACACATGAATTCTGGACCTAGTCCAGAGTGGGTACACTAAAACAATAGCTTACAGATGGAAAAACTAGGGGTCAGGGAATTTTACACATTGCCAAGGTCACACAGCTGTGACAGTAGTAGCGGAAATTCTTATGTAGGCAGTGCAGTTTCCAGAACAAGCATACTGCATCGTCAGGATTCTGATTGTTGCCTTACAATATCTTCTTTTTCCTAGGAGCCCCCCGTCTTTCTGCAATATCACCCCAGTCCCTGCCTCAGCCTGGCCCCAGCTCCACAGAGAGAAGCTAGGATGGTAAATGCACCTGCACTAGTCCATTGTCAACACTGTAGTCCTCGAGTCTCACAGAAACAGTTTCAGGCAAATCTTTTTGCTTCCTAGTTCAATCAAGACCTCGTATAAACACAGCTGCAAAGAGCTCAGCAGTCCTGCAGTGTCGGGCATCTTGCTGCCTCTGACGACTTAGGCAGTTTCGGTTGCTGGCAAACTTGCCGTCACGAATCGCAAGCTGGATGCATTCTTCACACACATTCTTTGGGCATATCCCTAAGTCAAATCTCAGTAAAACACAGACCTACTATAACCTAATTCAACCTAACTAGGAAGCAAGTTAACCAAGGATGTTTTGCATCAGTCATTCATTCATTCATTTTTTGGATGATTTTGAGCCAGGCATTGGGGCCAGCTGCTGGAGATGGAAAAATAAAAAAGCAGATTCCAATCCCGTGGAACTCAGTCTATTGGAGAGATCAATCTTGCAAAACAACATGACAGGGACTTTGACAAAGATATGCACATCAGGTGCTATGGGAACAAAGAAAACATTTCTGTGTAGAGTGCATGTGTGCACGTGTGTGTGTGTGTGGTAGACGATAACAGAAATCCTCCATCCTGGTAAAAGAAACGTATACAAACCTGGGAAACTACAGCAATCAGACAGCTTAGGAACATCAAATAGTTCAATATGACAAAGTACAGGTGAGTGGCAAGTTATAAGGACAGGAAAGAGAAATGCAGAGACAAGATCACTGTGCTAAATCAGATTTATATCCCAAGACTGTAAGAACCATTAGATTTTAATCAGAAGATAGACATATTTAAAAGATTGATGTTTCTAACTCTCTACCCTTCTCCCTTCCTCGCTGTAAGAAAACAATAAAATATGTATTTTTAAAAAATAATAAAAATAAAAGATCAGAATCCTCACCGCTGGGTGGAACTGGCTGTCAGTCACATGCATTTAGTTTGTAGGGCGATGTTTTGGAATGACTTAGCCATGACATCATTTAATTAGGACTGATGGACTCAGACAAACATAGACAGACACATATGGTCTAGATTCCAAAGATGTCATTTTTTTCCCTAGAAATAGGAAAAAAATGTAGAAGAAAAATTGACCCCCTCAATTTCTTTATCACAATACAAGTTAATATTTAGCACAGTGCCTGGCACCTGCCTGTTATAAACAGTTAATATCTAAACCCATACCACTTGCTGCCTAAGTAGTCTATTAATATTTGTCCCCAAACCAACAGTGTGATGCCCAGGATTGCCCTCAAAGCACAGAGCAGCCAACTAAAGTGCTGACTGCACATGCATTGTGTCCAGCACAGGACTTGACCCCAAGGTGGCTGTGTCTACATGTTGTGTTGGGACAGGCAGGTGAGGGGATTGAGGGACCGTGACCTCTCTGGTGATATTGTAAGATTCCCCAGTTAAACCCATCCTACATGACTGAAATCCATCACAAGTTCTGCTCATTATAGGTAGTGACCACAAAAGGTCTGTCCTTATCCTCCTCCTAGGACAGGTGATGATCCAGAAAGAATCCATTTTATGCAACCCTTTGCCAGAGATTTATGATTTCTGCTTGCCTGGTTACAATAAAACTTAAGATTCAAGAACCTGCAACTTTAAGAACTACCTGGAAAACAAGTCACAATCTGTTACCCAACAGTGAGCTGTGAAAGAGAATCCAGAACAGTCAAATAAACCATCTTTTAGGCACCATCTCAGAACAGAACCAATAAAACCACCAGAAGTAAGTACTTCAATTAACCAAATAAATAACTTAATCACAGTAAGCCCCTTAATCTAAATTAATAATTTCTGTTCAACAGAATTCAATTCTATAACAGCAGATGTTAAATCAACTAATAATGGCAAATACAAAGTTTCAAATAAAAACATAAAAGCAATCTGAATCCTGCTTTACTGAAGCCTGTTGAAAATATGAAGTCCTATAGGAAGATTAGAGAATCTTCTGAAGAACAGACAGGGACCACAATAACCTCCGTAGAGAGGTTGATGAGAGAAATTCTCCCAGTGGAGAAGCCGATGAGAGAAATTCATAGCTCACGTACCACCGCCCCACCCCGCTCCTACCTCACCCCGTCCAGCCCCGTAAGGAGTTCCCAGATACGCAAACCTCTTCCATCTCAGTCCTGACCCCATCCTCTTCAATCTTAGTTATATTTTAAGATAGAAGGGGCTACAGAATCTGAAATTGATAGGCCTCAAGAAATGTAAAGACTTTAATGTGTATAGAACATTCAAAACAACTTCAACGAGGAAGCCAGCTCACCTTCACAAGTTACTTCACAGGTCAATAAAAATGAACTGAGTCATCCTGGACATAATTCATTAAGGCTTCAAACCATCTGGGGAAGAGTAGCACAGTTATAACCCTATGTAATCCATATTTACAAAAAGTTCACTACCCAAATCCAGAAATGTTTGCGCCATACATAGCTTATTTTTAAAGGATCCCCTACTCCCTGCCCAAATGGCCATGTGTCGCCTCTGCTCTTGATTTCCTTCTCCATGCCCAACACACCAACTTCACTTCTTCAGGTGGAATGAGCCTGAAGAAAATGTTGAAAAGCCTGAAAGTAGGAAGTACACAAGGCTGGTAGGGAGACAAGAGTTGTCTCTAATTCATTTTATAAGCCAACACTTGCACTCAGCAGTCCTTTCCCCTGATGTCATCCAGCTATCAGAGAGAACCTCAATGTAGAGTCTGTGAAGGACAGCTGTTGACAAAGTGCCTGCAGGCGGCAGTCCAGGAGAGAAGAGGTAGCGGCTTGAGGTGAATGAGTAAGTGCCTGTCTGGCCAGCCCCTGCTCTTCTCCTGGCTTAGATCAACCGATGTAGATGCGATGGAAATCATTGGCACCAAAGGCAGCATTGCACTTGGGACATTTGCGCTGGCGGGTATCATAGCGAGTCTTCACACACTCAAAGCAGAAGACGTGAAAACACTTGGTAAGGACAGCATCCTTTTTACGCATGTTGCAACACGGGCAGGTCAGGCGTGCCTGAAAAAAAAAAGTCAAAGTCTGAGCAACCACAAAGGTTTATGATCCAAAGGGCTCTCAAACATAAGCAAACAAGATCCACCAAGCACCGAGGCAAAAGTATCATTCCCCCCAAAAATAAACCATTCTCTGGTTACCTTCATGTATAGAAGCTCAACATTTATTCTCCCCGGCTATTAGTGGGCCGCTTCGGGCCCTGACCGACCAAAAAACAAAAAAAAAAAAACAGCCATCCAGCAATCACTGAGGCGGTTTTTCTAACCTTGTAATCCTTAATCTCCTCCATCAGAATCTCATCGCATTTGGGCCCGTTGTCTGGTTTCTTTGTGGTCTCCAGCTTTCTTCGGAGCCTGGAGATGTCCTCCTGCGGGAGCACGGACAGGAGGCCCATCGGACACCCTCCCCGCCCAACCTGCCATTCGTGACGAGAATAACCCCTCCAACTTCAGCATTGTGGGAAGTCCTTTCACGCCCCGCTGTCTTTCAGAAATGTTGAGAATTGCAAGGGGGAAGATGTTTCTTTTGTTTCAGAACGAGCAACTGTGATCATTTTGCCAAACTGGAGTTGCACCTAACTACTGTCAATTCAGTACTGTGAAAATACAGCCTAAGAAATGAGAAGGACTGAAGCTTTAAAAGATGAAAAGCTTGATGGGATACTTCATTTTAAGGCAATCAGTTTTAAGCTGAAGGTAGATTGGATTAAATAATTAACGGATTTATGGATAAGGACAGAAAAGCATAATGAGAAACAAATAGAAAAATTGTAGGAGAATTTTCCTTTTTTTTTCTTAATCCTCACTGAGGATATATTTTTATTGTTTTAAAGAGAGGAAGGGGGCCGAGACTGGTTTGGCTCAATGGATAGAGCGTCGGCTTGGGGACTGAAGGGTCCTGGGTTCGATTCCGGTCAGGGGCATGTACCTTGGTTGCGGACATATCCCCAGTAGGGGGTGTGCAAGAGGCAGCTGATCGATGAGTCTCTCTCATCGATGTTTCTAACTCTCTCTCTCCCTTCTTCTCTGTACAAAATCAATAAAATATATTTTTTTTTAAAAAAAAAGAGGAAGGGGTGGGGAGAAAGAGAAACATCTATCGGTTGCCCCCCGTATGCACCCTGGCCTGTGGGAATTGAACCTAAAACCTAGTCATGTATCCTGACCAGGAATCAAATGCATAACTTTTTAGTGCATGGGACAATGCTCCAGCCAACCGAGCCACACAGCCAGAGCTAGCAGGAGACCTTTAAAGTCCTCTAATTAACTACGTTGCTACATAATCACCAACTCATTCCTCTACTAGTAAGTATTTATTTCATGTCCACTAGGTGCTAGGCACCATGACAGGCTTTGGGGACACAGCAGTGAAGAAAACAGCCTGTCTTTTCTCTTGAGCAATTGCAGTCAAATAGGAAATGACATGCTTTAGATCAATGACTCTCACACAAGATGGGTCACTTCAGAGCTCAGAAAACACCCAACAAGTGACATAAAAAGAAAAAAACTGCTCCTACCTGGGCTCGTTTGAAGTTAAACATGTCCTTTTCTTTGGTGACACTGTTCTCCACAATCTCTTCCTGAAAATCATGCAACTTCTTCTGAGCCAACTCCAGTTGTGCTTTGAGGTCCTCTGCAAGCTGGGCTGCCTCCATTGCCTACATGGGATGGAGAGTACGTCATCTTGTCACCTGTTAGTATTTCCAGGGAGGTAAAACGCTAGCCCGCGTCCAAGGAGTAAGGTGAGCTATGATTTCATCAGTGTCATACTTACGTGTTCCTCTGAGGCTAATGGTCACTTTAGATTACAGAGCAATCAATCAATCATACCTTGCGCTTATTCATCTCTAAGGCTTGTGTCCTAAGACCCAGCTCCTTCTCCCCAGTGCCAATGTTGCTTTGTAACAGATGCTCCTTCTCTTCCAATTTCCTTACTACTTGTAACTGGGCATCAACCTTTGAAGAAGGAAATCAGATTTTAACATAAATAGGAAGGAAAAAAACAAAACTGACTAGGCTCTGTTAATTCACAGGCCCACAAGAGAATCTTCTAGAAATTGTAAACTATTACTGATTTTACCCATGACCCCTACAAACCACATGCAAGATTAGGATAATTAAAAGCTTCACTTTTAATGCAATAGATATATATATATATATATATATATATATATATATATATATATATATATAACTTTTAATGCAATATACATACACACAACACACACATACACACACACACACACACACACACACACACACACACACACACACACACACTAGAGGCCCAATGCACAAAATTCATGCACTGGGGGGAGGGGGTGTCCCTCAACCCAGCCTGCACCCTCTCCAATCTGGGACTCCTTCGGACAGCCCTCTCACAATCCAGGACTGCTGGCTCCCAACCACTTGCCTGCCTGATTGCCCCTAACTGCTTCTGCCTGCCAGCCTGCTTACCCTCTAGTCACTACCCTGCCAGCTTGATCTATGCCTAACTGCTCCCCTGCCAACCCGATTGCCCCTAACTGCCCGCCCCTGACAGCCTGGTCATCCCTAACTGTCCGCCTATGCAGGCATGGTCACCCCCAACTGCCCTCTGCCAGGCTGGTCCCCCCTAAAACTGTCCTCTCCTGCAGGCCTGGTCCCTCCCAACAACCTTCCCCTGCAAGCCTGGTCCCCCAACTGCCCTCCCCTGCAGGCCTGGTCCCTCCCAACTGCTCTCCCTTATAGGCCTGGTCCCTCCCAACTGCCCTCCTCTGCTGACCTGGTCACCCCTAATTGCCCTCCCCTGCAGGCCATCTTGTGGTGGCCATCTTGTGTCCACATGGGGGCATCAATCTTTGACCACATGGAGTTGGCCATCTTGTATGTTGGAGTGACAATTTGCATATTACTCTTTTATTAGATAGGATACGTGTGTATTTGTATGTATATCCTCTATAATAAAAGCCTAATATGCTAAGTGTCCAGACGTCCAGTTGGACGTTCAACCAATCCTACCTTATAAAAGAGTAATATGTAAATTAACCATCACTCCGCTCAAGCCACGCTACTAGCCACACCCACCAGCCAATCAGAGCAAGTATGTAAATTAACCCCAGCCAAGATGGCTGCAGCCACAGAGAGCAGTTGAGAGGCTAGGGTTTCCCCAGCAATAGAGGAAGCCAAGCTTTCCACACACCTTGGCCAGCCTAGGCCTCCACTCAAGGATACAAAGTTTCAATTATAGAAGGTAAATCCCAAGAAAAATGGCAGCTGCCACAGAGTTGGAAAGAGCAGACTAGGGTTTCCCCGGCAATAGAGGAAGCCAAGCTTTCCACACACTGTGGCCGGCCTAGGCCTCCACTCAAGTCTACAAAGTTTCAATTATAGAAGATACATGAACCCCAACAGAAATGGCTAAGGGCCACAGAGCGAGCAGGGGGCTTGGCTCTGCTCCAGGCTACAAAGTTTCAATTGTAGAAGGTAAATAAATTCCAGATACCAGGGCCTCCACTTGGGTCACCAGGGGGCATGGCCAGCCTGCAAACCACCACAGGCCCCTGGCTCAGACCGCCCCATGCCCCAAGAGAACCCCCACCCTGATCCGGGACACCTTTCAGGGCAAACCAGCTGGCCCGCACCCATGCACCAGGCCTCTATCCTATCTAATAAAAGAGTAATATGCAGATTGACCATCACTGCAACACACAAGATGGCTGCCCCCATGTGGTCAAAGATCCTGCCTCCATGTGGACACAAGATGGCCACCACCCTGCCCCCATGTGGACACAAGATGGCCAGCAGGGGAGGGCAGTTGGGAGGCACCAGGTGTGCAAGGGAGGGCAGCTGAGAAGGACCAGGTCTGCAAGGGAGGGCAATTGGAGGCGATCAATCCTGCAGGGGAGGGCAGTTAAGGGTGGCCAGGCCATCAGAGGAGGGAAGTTGGGGGCAAACAGGCTGGCAAGGGAGCAGTTAGAAATCAATTAGGCTGGGATGGGAGTAGTCAGGGGGTAATCAGGTTGGCAGGAAGAAGTGGTTAGGGGCAATCAGGAAGGTAGGCAGGCAAGCAAGAAGTTGGGAGCCAGAAGTTCTGGGTTGTGAGAGGGATGTCCGACGGCCCATTTAACATCCCTCAAGGTGCCCCAGATTGGAGAGGGTGCAGGCTGGGCTGAGGGACACCCCCCTATCCTGTGCACGAATTTCCTGCACCGGGCCTCTAGTCAAAGCATAATATGCTATGACATCCACTGACCACCAGGGGGCAGACACTTTGATCAGTAGGTTAGCTTGCTTCTGGAGTCCAGCCAATCGGGACTGATCAAGATAGGCCGGACACACCCTGGAGCCCTCCTGCAGCCCCTCTCCAGCTGGCCAACCTCCCACATCCCTCCCTGGCCTTGATCATGCACCAATGGGGTCCCTTGGCCTGACCTGTGCCGTCTTGCAATCTGGGACCTCTTGGGGGATGTCAGAGCCGGTTTCGGCCTAATGGTAGAATGACTAGTCACTATTATACGCACTGACCACCAGGGGGCAGACGCTCAATGCAGGAGCTGTCCCCGGTGGTCAGTGTCCCACAGGGGGAGCTGCTCAGCTAGAAGCCGGGCTCATGGCTGGCAAGTGCAGCTGTGGTGGCGGGAGCCCCTCCCACAGCCATGGCAGCACTAAGGATGTCTGAATGACGGCTTGGGCCTGCTCAGAGTGGGGCTATGCCGTCAGTAGGCTATCCCCTGAGGGCTTCCAGACTGCAAGAGGACACAGGCTGGCTGAGGGAACCCTCCCTCCAGTGCACGATTTTCATGCACCAGGCCTCTAGTGTGTGTGTGTGTGTGTGTACATACATATATACACACACACGTATCCACACACTCAAGTGCATAATTTTTGTGCAACGGGCCTCCAGAGTGTGTGTGTGTGTATACATATACGTATTTGATGATTCAAAAAGTCTAGGAAACCACAGAGAATATTCTTCTCCAAATTGTCAAGAACAGAGGAATTACATTTATAGGTATTTATCTTCTCCAGCCATACTAATGCCCAAAGCCTGGCGATTCATAATAGAACATGTAAATCATATCACAAACAAAAGTCCAAGTGCATCTCTTTCAGAATAGCTAGAGGTTCAAAAGTACTCTTTTTCTTGAAACTCATGCACAAAATAGAATCAAATAATGTTAAGGGGTAAAAAGTAAAGTCACACACCCACAAACTCTGATCCCAACATCCAGAGATAACCAGGTAACCACTCTTAGTTTCTCATGCAACCTTCCAGAAATTTTAAAAATACACAGCCCATGCACACAAAGACATGCATTTTTAGCACAACAGGGATAATAAAACAAATCACTTAATTGTATATTTTATACATTTTTCCATCTTAGCAGGTCTATATTTGTTTTAATAGCTGGTACACTGTACTCCTTTGTAAGGACATATAATTTACTTACCAGTAACCTAATAACGTACATTTCGTTTTGTTTTTCCTATTATAAAAAAATGCCACAATCATCATTTTTAATGCATATTTTCATGTAGAAATTACCCTACTTCAACAGAATTCTGAAAAGCTGTTTATTCTAATTACCTGAGTCTTTAAAGTCAAAACCTGGTCGGCCAGCTCCTCCTTCTCTTCTTTGAGTAACTTATGGATCTGATTGGACTTGATACGTTCTGACATTAGCTTGAAATTGGCATCGTCCTTCTCCCGCAATTGCTGCATCAAGCGGATATTTTGCTCCTGCATGTCTTCAAAGGCCTGGCCTGTGACATCCATCTCGGAGAGGAGAGCTTCTTCCTCCTAAAATAAGGAGGAAAAACCTTCATTTTAATGGAATCTTCTAATTCCAAAAAAAAGTAGTTCAGGAAGCTAAGCTGCCCCACTGTTCCTTCAGAATAAATTAACCTACTGACAAGGAGACACTGAGTTTCAAGAAGCTTCGTTTTGTCATTATGGCAGCCCTAGGAATGCAAAGGAAGCCCTATTATCTGAAGCCACTGGCACTGACTATTGGTCTGTCACTATTAGTTGATTTGTTCTCCAAGTTAGTCACAACGGACAAAAACTTTATACATCTCAGAATCAGCAAACTGATCCAGTAGCAGTTGATTAAGAGAACATCTAAAACGAAACCTAACATTTTCTCATTTTTCCATAATTATAATACCGGATTTAATCTACAAACTTTCCAACAGCATTGCACAACAATCTGGTGCAGAACAGTATTTAACATAGTTTTCTTACATTTGTGTTATTATGAGCATTTTTGCATGTTTAAGAGCCATCTGTATTTTTTTTTCTGTGAACTATTTTTATCTTTTGCCTATTCTATTGGATTGGTGTGTTTACTTTCCTGTAATTTTAGAAGTTTTTAAAATATATATTATAAATATAAGCCCTTTTGTGATTATTTTTCCCCCCATTTGTCATTTATCTTTTGGCTTTGCTAACAGTCATTTTTGCCATATAGAAATTTTGTGGGAAGTTTCCTTCATTAAGTCAAAATTATTAATCTTTTCTTTCATGTTTTTAGACTCAGTAATAGCTAGCAGGGTCTTCTCCACTCCAAATCTTTAGAAACAATTAACACTATTAAGATATTGAATAAAGGGTCTTTCTACTTGTACTGAAACCAATAGTAGTATAATTTCCTGAAAATTATTCTTTAGCCAAAACCGGTTTGGCTCAGTGGTAGAGTGTCAGTCTGAGGACTGAAAGGTCCCAGGTTTGATTCCGGTCAAGGGCATGTACGTTGGTTGCAGGCACATCCCCAGTAGGGGGTGTGCAAGAAGCAGCTGATCGATGTTTCTCTCTCATCGACGTTTCTAGCTCTCTATCTCCTTTCCTCACTGTAAAAAATCAATAAAATATATTTTTAAAAAATAATAAATAAATAAAAAAGAAAGAAAAGTGGCAATCAACAGACTTTAAGAGTCAAGCCCCACTTTTTATAAAATGAATGGATATAGATTCTAATAAAGTTACTCTTTTCAAGGTACTTAATGATCAAGTCACCATTAAAACTACTTCATTTCATTGTCATGTTGCTATTTCTTAAAAACAGTGAAGGTGTTCCTCACAGTGAACATATATGGTTTTTCCAACCATTTTTGGTATCTTTTTGCTGAATGTCAATAAATTCACTGGGACTTAAAATAAAGCAACCCATTCTCATTATCAGAAGGGAAAAGGTCTCGATAGTTCTAGGATTCACAAACAACCATGATTAACATACTGGTTACTTATTTATAATCTATTTGTGGCACATGTTTTTTTCTTAGTTTCATATACTTATAAGTAAAATGTATATAATATTTCCTATCTTTCGTTTTAATTTTATATTCATTATAACCCCTGATTCCAGACCAAAACAGAAAGGATAAATCCCTCAATAAACAATGTCTGAACAACATATTATCCATTTGAAAGTAAACTTCATGTCTCACAAATACATAAAACAAACTAACTGCAGGATGAAAGACTTCAATGTTAAACAAACAAGCATTTATAGGGAAAAAAAATTTTTTAAAAGACTGAAATGAAAGAGCCAATGTCACTGTCAATTATATACCTGTCAGGTAATACTGACTTCAAAAGCTGGTTAAATAAAGAAAGTGGCCCACCTGCTTGGCCATGGCCAGCTTCTTCTGCAGGTATTCTATCTGCTCCTCTACTGCCCGGATCTTCCTCAAGGCATCCTCATCAGCCATTTTCTTGTTCTCTTTCTTCTCCTTATCCTCTAGATCCTTGAGTCTTTGCCTTAGATCTTCCAACTACAGGAGGAAAGGAATCACACAAAAAGAAAAGCTATGATAAAATTTCAAAAAAAAATCAATTAATACTGTGCCCAGATGGAGGGCCCATAATATCAAACTAACCTTTACTGAATTATGAAAGGGGATAAATGATATACACATCTCAGCACTGTTTTAACATCACTTAATTCTAACACTCCATGCTTCCATAGCAACATTTTTGAGAAGGGCAAATATATGTTTCTTTAAAATAGTTCTCACCCTTTTTTCCTAGACTCCAAAATTTAAAATAAGACATTCTTCCCAAAAGTAATCAGAAAAGAGAATCATTATAATAACAATTTATATGGGGTAAGGGGGAATATAAAGGTTTGAAAAGACAATTCCTATTCCCAGTAATTCTGGTGACCTAACCCACCTCCTAGTGGAGAATCTGGAAATCTCTATTTCGGATGGTTTTGAAAGGGAAGAAAATGTTGCTAAGTTTTAAACTCTAACTTTAAAAACAAAGAAACCATAGCCTTCAGAAGTGTGAAGGAAAATCCCACAAATGATGATTTTAATCTGAATGACAGGTAATGGCAGGCTAGATTACCTCTGCCTTAGACTTCTTCTCAGCTGCCATTAGCTGAACTTTGTCTCTCTGTTCCTTTGGGGCCGAGCGGTACATGTCTAGCAACAATTTCATCTCCTTCTGGCTCTCCTGCGCCTTCCTGTGAAGAGGGTGGCAGAGGAAGGGGGATGGTGTAAGGAGAAACAAAGGACATCAGAACAAGGGAATTTCTAATTAAAATTATTCTGCAGCAGTTCTATTTTACACTTTACATCACACCTCTAATAGACAAAACTTTCGCAACTATCAAGAGACTTCTGGATATACTCAGGAAGGACAGAAAAGCAAGCTGTATAAAGGAATCATTTCTCCCTTCAGACCAGGTTCCAAAGTTATCAATAAACACCGTGGCCCTTATTAAACAGGCACATTTCTGGGTCCTCACTCTTAGAAACTGATAGTCAATACGTCTGGGCAGGGGTCCAGGGTTGTATTTTAAATAAGTCACCCATATGATTCTGAACCACACTTAAAAAAAAAATTTGTCTTAAAGAGGCCAAGAGGAAGGGAGGGGAAAGAGAGTTGAAAATATAGTTCTGTTCCTAGATTTGACAGTTAAGTGATTAACCATCAGCCAAAGACAAAACTTTCATCTCTTACTAAATTATCAAACCTCTTAACTATACTTTCAGGTACCAAAGAAGTTCAAACATTTTAAGCACAGTGGTCCCTCAAATCTAAATATCAATAAAAGGCCCAACCATGACCAATAGGGAGCAGGAAGTCCCCGGTTCTACCAGACAGTTATGAATTAAACAGGAAGAGCAGGGGCGATGTGCGAGGTTATACGGTGTTTCATGGACTGTAAAACTGATTTAAAGCCTGCCTAGAAATCTCTTTAAATGACCCAATATGTACCAAACTAGTTAACTGCCAGGTAAACAGATCAATATTGTTCAAACAGTGATACATACTCTGTATATATAAGTTAATATAAGTTAAATTACAATTAACACTAGTGATCTGCCAGTAGTTAATTTCAATAATTCTCAAGAGTGTTACTTCAATCATGACACCCCTTCCCATAATTTGGATGAAAAATAAGGCCACAACTACCAGGTTTACTGAGACCTGACCACTGAATTGGACTCCACAGTAGCCATGTAGGTCATTGTAGCTGTATGTACATTTGAATCAAGAACTGAGACCACGTTAACTGCTCATTTAGTTACACTCAAAGTGATACAATTATCAGATAAGCCATGCCATCCAGGGAACATTTCCTGAGTGATGTCCTAACCTTAGCTTTTGAATCAGAAAGTTACTACGTCAACATTGCTCTTACTTGAGTTCAATCTTCAATTGTTTGATAATTTCTGCTTCCTTTTTCCTTACATCTTCATGTTTCCCTTTCTCTTTCTCTTTAGCAGAATCTCTCTCTCTTTCTGACTCTTTTAGTTTCTGCTTCTCTCGTTCTCTCTCCTTTTCCTTCTCCCGCTCTCTTTCTCGCTCCCTCTCTTTCTCCCTCCTTTCTCGTTCTCGCTCTTCCTCATCCCGTTTGGACTTCATTTCGTTGGCTTCCTCCTGAGATGCCTTCGATGCGGAGGACTGGGCAGACCAGTCTTCGGGATCTTGTTTCACCTCTGCAGGCTCATCCTTAGTGTCTTCAGTACTAGACTGAGACTGCAGGAGGGCACTGCCACTGCGCAGACGTGTCTGGGGGGACAGAGAAATGGAAGAAGCACATCACTTATGGCAACCACACTGCTTTCCTTTCTCGACAACTGCTTTGCACACTGAATAGGAAATAATACTTATTCTACTCCTCCCAGTTACCTTGTTCAGGTCAGTCTGGGCTTCTCTCAATTTCCGCTTATACCTCAGGACTTCCCCTTTCAGCTGGTGATTGTGATTCTGGAGGCTACTGATGAGGTGGCGCATCTCCCGGTTTATGGGGCCTTAAACACAGCAACAGCAATGTTATGAAGAACTGTGATAAGGGGAGAGAGGACAGAACACATCAGGGACCTCTAAGAAATGGGGAGAATTGCCAAGAGTCCTCAGAAGATAAAAACAAAACTGGCCAATTTGAGTTAAAAATAAACACACAGGCTGGGAACAGAAATGAATTACAGGATTTGATTTTAGGTCCTCTAGGACTTCTGAGCTCCAGTTAGTACTAAAAAGTCCTGGAGACCACATTGTGTCTTTCAAGGAAAGCATTTGCAGCAAAGTGCAGGGGAAGCAAGAATAACTGTACCTGCTTGCTCATTGGCAGCAAGGGTCTGCTCAAATTCTATCCTCAGCATTTCATATTCCTTGCGGACCTGGGCCAGGGTATCTTCTAGCTGGATCACTTCGGTCCTCAGCTTCTTATGAAGACTAACCTCATCTCGCTACCAGAGAAAAAAAATAAAAATAAAAAATTCTTATCAAAGTGTGGAAAGATCATCATGTTTTATTATGTTCCCTAAATTCAATCTTTATGGATCAAAGAAAAAGAAGAAAAATACAAAAAAAAAAAAGAGATTACTCCAAAAAGTTCCAATTTCATCAATACTTAATGTACACTAGACGGCTACTGAATACTGATTTGAGAATCAGCAGGATACTAAAGAAATAAAAGAAATGGCCCTTCACTCTGAGAATGTTACAATTTAATTGGAGAACTAAACAATAAAACATAATATAAACATATGTAAAGTAAGATACACTACATTAAATTCAGTTCACTTGGCAGAAATACAGCAAAAAACTATTATTAAAAAAAAATTATCTTAAGGACTATAGAAGATACAGAAGTGAACGCATAAATAAAAAGTTTCTGCCTTTAGCCCAGTTGGTGTAGCTTAGTGGTTGAGCTTCAATCTATGAACCAGGAGGTCAGGGCACACGCCTGGATTTTGGGTCAATCTCCAGAAGGGGGCAGCCAATCAATTCTGTCTCATTATTGATATTTCTGTCTCTCCCTCTCCCTTCCTCTCTGAAATCAATTTTTTTCTTTAAAGACTTTTCTATAGTTATAATGGCTTGTAGCAGAGACACAGCTTCTACCCACTATTCTCCATCATGCAAATAAGGCTCCACTCACACTAACCTATTTTTATGTCTGTGATTCTCACTGCTCAATGCCCTTATTTTTATCTACCAGTAAACTTGTATTTATTCTTAAATTTCATACTTCACTTTGGCAAGTGGAATCTAGAAGGTTCCATAGTCAAATCAGATGCTATCTCCTTTATCACTGCAAATGTGGGATATGCCTCCACTGTACCACACTGCATTCTAATGGATGTGATTCTCCCCACTAGTCTGTATGATTTTTTTTTTAAATATATTTTATTGATTTTTTACAGAGAGGAAGGGAGAAGGATAGAGAGCTAGAAACATCGATGAGAGAGAAACATCGATCAGCTGCCTCCTGCACACTGGGGATGTGCCCGTAACCAAGGTACATGCCCCTGACCAGAATCGAACCTGGGACCCTTCAGGCTGACGCTCTATCTACTAAGCTAAACTGGTTAGGGCTAGTCTGTATGATTCTTGATGGCAAGATGCCCATCATCTAGCAGAGGCAAGATCTACAGCAATTCTATAAGTATTTGCTGAATGCATAAGAGATTAACTGCATGAGAAAATAGAATTAAAAATTTTTGAGGCAGAAAAGCTTATATACAGAAGACAAAGCTAGCTGTTACCTCAATGAGCTCCACCTGGCGCTGGTGGGTCCCCCTGGTGCCATGGAGCAGGGTCCGAGCCTCATCCAAGTGCGCTTTCAACTGTAGGCTCTCATTGTAGAGGACGGAGAATTGTGACTGCATACAGCGATATTCTGGAGTCTCCTTAACCACTTCCTCCACTGCGCTCCGCAATTCCACCTTTGAGGGATCCAAAGAAAAAAAGTCAAAGCAGAACCTAGCATCTGTGCCCTCCATACTACACAGGAAGTAAAACATTAAACTCTGGGGGGAAAAGGACACATATGTAATACCTTAATCAATAAAGAAAGAAAAACAAAAAAAATGTTAAACTCATTGATGTCCTGCACTTGATGAAGATTATAAAGTAGTTCTACCCACTCCTCTAGTTATGTAAAATCTACACAAAATTAAATCAGATCACCAAAGAGGTAGTACCCCGTACCTGTATTCTTCCATCCAAGAATTGTTTTTACTTGATAAGTGTTCTACATTAAATGTCAGCCTAGATCCAAGGACTCTAGAAAAGTCCTATGAAATTTGCCAGATTCAGGAACAGAGATGAGCACTATGAAATTTTCAGGATGCTTATTTTAAGAACATAGTTGAGGATCCCAATCACAACTCTTTAATAATGTTCTCTTTAATAATAATCACACAGAAAAAGGTTTTTGACATTGAATCAAAAACAGTTATGCTTTTCCTAAATATAACTGCCTGCTTGAATTATGCAAATGCTTCCACTAATTTAACTCAGATTGTTTTGTGTTTTTTCAGTTCAAACATCTTTATTTACCTAGAAATCAATCAAATTACAAAAGACAGGTGACTGTGATTGAAAGAGGAATGGAAGACTTTCAGAATCCACTTTCTTCCCCCAAGAACCTGGGAAAGAAATTCCAATGGGCAGGTCTGAAAACCAACAGGATCACAGACGAGGTTTCTTTGTTTTGGCAGCTAGAAACTGCAGAGCCAAACGCTGTGCCCCCCTTTGGCATTTACTGACAATGTGAGTGACCTACCCTCCTAAGGGTACAAATACTTAAGTAAATATATAAGGAAATAAATCAACATACCAATTTCCCTCATAAATTCTGAGGATTCACAAGTATGGACAAGAGTTGGCCAGCAAAAACGTTTCCGTTTACTCCCCATCAGAGATGTGTCTCCTACCTTCAGCTTTTCGTTTTGTGTGGTGACCTCATCAAAGTCTTGCCGAAGTTTCTCCAGCTCACAGTGGCGATTCTGAGCCAACTCTTTGTTCTCCTCAAGCTCTGCATTCATTTCTTCAAACTGGAGAGATGAAGAAGAGTAAAATGGGAACAAAGAATTTTTAAATCATTCCCATTCCCAAGTTTCCGTCTTCAGTGATCCACTCTTCTGGCAAAACCCTTGTGAACACAATCCCAGGTACCTGGCACAACATTGACACCAATAAAAAAACACATCCTGAGTGAGTTAGACTTTACCTTCCGGGCGTTAATAGTGATTGTGCCGCCATAGAGACTGCTCCCCGCTCCATATACTTTGTAACCTTTTGAGTTCACCTACAGAGAAGACAAAGATTCTTTAGTGAGGGACCCCGAGATTTCAGTCTGGTAAGCAAAATACTTTCAAAGGAACATGTTTTTCCCTAAAAAACTACTACCCAAGTCCATGGTTTCTGAGCAGACTCCTGAAAATGATTCTAGTCTCCAAACTATGAATGAAACAGCACTTGCCCGTTCCAGGACTTCTGCTAAGTGTCGGTTGAGTCTCTGTTCCCTCTTCCGAATTTTGTCAATATCCCACTGCAGGTCATCAATCATGGACTCTAGGACAGACACTCGTGACTCAGCTGTCTCCACTTTATTCTGCAACTTGGAGAACTGCATCCCAAAGATGGGCATTCAAATAAGCGTGGAAAAAAACAAAAAAACAAAACCAAGTTAGAAAAACAATGCCTCACATCAATACCGTCTTCCCAATGCATGAGTATAAAAGTGAAACGACAGGCTCTTTTAACCATTCTGAGTCAGTTACAATCATGAAAACCATGGAAGTCTATAAGATCTCTTATACAAGGAAGACTACTTAAGATTCAATACTTCTTCTACCTCTGAGAAACATCATCTCTCTAGATAGAATAGAATCCCATTAGAAAATGTGTAATTTAAAAAAATAAAATTTTATTGATTTCAGAGAAAAAGAGAAAGGGAGAGGAAGAGAGATAAAACATCAATGATGGGGGAGGGGGGGAATGGGAAGATATGTACACATGTAATACCTTAATAAAAAAATGGGGGGAGCTGAAACAGATTTGGCTCAATGGATAGAGCATCAGCTTGGGGACTGAAGGGTCTCAGGTTCGATTCCAGTCAAGGGCATATACCTTGGTTGCGGGCATATCCCTGGTGGGAGGTGTGCAAGAGGCAGCTGATCGATGACTCTCTCTCTATCTTTCTTCCTTCCTCTCTGTACAAAATCAATAAAATATTTTTTTAAATGGGGGGGGACCCCACATCAATGATGAGAGAATCATTGATCAGTTGCCTCCTGCACACCCCCTATTGGGGATTGAGCCTGCAACCTGGGCATGAATAGCCTGCAATCTGTGCCCTTGACCAGAATAGAACCTGGGACCCTTTAGTCCCCAGGCTGCTGCTTCTATTCACTGAGCCAAACTGGCTAGGGAAAATGTGTATTTTTTAAGAAACAAAAGATAACATTATTTTTTTCAAATACATAGTATAGGAGACAAAAACTCAAATGGATAGTCAGAAAAGACACCTATCTTTACCCCGAACTTTCCCTTCTCATTTCTACAAATGATATCCAAAGAGAACAAAAGGAAAGCTCCCATTCTCTTTTTGAAGCTCACCCAAGACAATCTTGAATCAGGTACTATAGATACAAAAATCTGTGTTCTCTGTTTATTTAGGAACTACACACCAGCTAATACTATTTAATGCTTTAATTATGAATCTGTCACATGTTCACATTAATCTATGCATATCCTTTATGTTGGTGTTAAAATGTGATGTGCCATCCCACTCCCATGCCCTAACTGATTTGGCTCAGTGGATAGAGTGCTGCCCTGAAGACTAAAGGGTTCCGGGTTCGATTCCAGTCAAGGGCACATGCCTGGGTTCAGGCTCAATCCTCAGTGTAGGACGTGCAAGAGGCAGCTGATCAATGATTCTCTCTCATCAGTGATGTTTCTATCTCTCCCTTCCTCTCTGATATCAATTAAAATGTATTTTAAAAAATGAAAATGAAAATAAAAATAAAAAATAAAATGTGGCCCCTAAATTCTTTGACAGTCCTCCAGGCAAGAGGTGGGATCACTGTTTCCTCATCTTAAGCTGAGTCAGCTTCAGAGGCCCAGTGGAAATGATGGTACATAACTCTGAGGCTATGTCTGAAAGGCCGTGAAGGTTCTGCCTGCGGGTCACTCTCTGAAAGCCAGCTGCCACACCAGGAGTCTACTACCCTGAAACTGCCACGTTGGAGAACAACATGCAGGTGTTCCGGTGGATTGAGGCTGACTGGCAGCAGTAACACAAGCCACGAGAGCCATCTTGTACATCAGCTCAGCTGAGCAAAGTAATGTGCCTCTCTAGCTAAGTGAGGCTTGAGAGAGGCCTGGAAGAGGGAGGTTCTTTCATCTTGGAAGCAAATAGTTTGTCTTAAAACGTGACCAAAAGTTAGTCTTTTTTTTTTTTTTCCCTACACTTTTTACATTGAATTTTAGGGAGTGGAAAGGAAGGAAGAGGGGAGAGAAAGAAAGAGTTAGAAACGTCGACTGGTTGCCTTCTGTGTGCCCCTACAACCTAGGTATGTGTTCTTGACCAGGAATCAAACCCACAACACTTTGGAGTGCAGCTGGCACTCTAACCACTAAGCAACATCAGCCAGGGCAATTACCCTATTTTTTTAATGATAGTCCAATACTATATAATAAAAGGGTAATATGCAAATCGACTGAAGGGCAGAACTACTGCTTGCTATGATGCGCACTGACCACCAGCGTTGACAGGAGATGCCCCCTGGTGGTCAGTGCGTTCCCACAGAGGGAGTGCTGCTCAGCCAGAAGCCAGGCAGCTGTGGCAGGAACCTCTCTTGCCTCGGCGGCAGAGCTAAGGATATCCAACTGATGGTTTAGGCCTGCTCCTGGACTGTAAGAGGTCGCAGGCCTGGCTGAGGGGACCCCCCCCCCACCAACTCCTGCCTGAGGGCACAAATTTCATCCATTCAACCAATTCAAGTGCAATATGCTAATGATATTCTAAGGCTGCTCAACGACTCGCTATGATGTGCACTGACCACCAGGGGACAGACGCTCCAACCGGTAGGTTATCAGGACTGAGTGAGATGGGCCAGACACTCTCTGGAACTCCAAAGCGTTGTGGGTTTGATTCCCTGGCCCCAATTGTGCACCGGAGGGGTCCCACAGCCTGGCCTGAGCCCTCATGCAATCGGGGTTGAGGGAGCCCCCCCTTCCCGAGTGCATGAATTTCGGGCCACCAGGCCTCTACTTTTATAGAAATAAGCACATAACCAAATCGTGGTTTGAACATGCACCATTTGTGTCCACATTTGGACTGAAAACCTACATTCCTCAAGTTCTAGGTCATCAATAATGCAGGAGTTCCTATTGCCCCATTCTCAGATAAATTTCTACCAACCCATTCCTCAGTAACATTATACATGGTCTTTTATATTTGGGGTAGTTCATTATTTGGGGGGTTGGTGTGTTGTTTTGCAAAATCCCCATGATAGTATTTCTTCCTAAAGACTAAGATCCTAAAATGTCAGTTTAAAAAACAGGAAGAGAGTAGGAGAAACATTCAATGATTTTCTTCCTTTTACCTATCTCAGATTTTGATTTCTCTGAGCTGGTTGCTTTAGCGCAGTGGTCGGCAAACTAAGGCTCGCAAGCCACATGCGGCTCTTTGGCCCCTTGAGTGTGGCTCTTCCACAAAATACCACGGACTGGGCAAGTCTATTTTGAAGAAGTGGCATTAGAAGAAGTTTAAGTTTAAAAAATTTGGCTCTCAAAAGTAATTTCAATTGTACTGCTGATATTTGGCTCTGTTGACTAATGCGTTTGCTGTCCACTGCTTTAGCGTGTCCTACATGCTCCTCAATGTAAAGAGACTTTTTGGAGTAAGCTGACCTCTGCAGCACTCAGAACTGAGTCAATGTCTGCCACAGGACACTAGGCCAGTACCTCCTGAGACATGGTGCGGTGTTTCTCCTGAAGGAGGTCCGTCAGCCCCTGCAGCCTCATGTTCTCTTGTGCGAGGAAGGAGTTCAGCTCCTGCACTGCCTCCTCCACGGTCAGGTTATCTGAGGGAGGAGAACTTCGGGTTAGCGTCTGCTCCGTCACCTTTTAGAACTGCATATTCCACCAAGTCGTTAACATAATCTCACTCTATTCTCTAGAAAACTTCAAGAATTAGGCTGGTTTTCATTCTCTTCGCAAGATAGATTAATTACCCAGAGATGAGGTGACCTTCATGAGGAAAATGATCATAGTCAAGGTCCCTTTCTATAGAGTCAAAATGCCTTAATAAAAGAAATTGGGAGTTTCTACAACTTAATTCAGAAAAGGAAGAATTATTTAAAACACTTAGTTTTAGAAGACAGAGGCATTTCTAATCTGTCAGACTTAGCAGCATTAAAATTCTATTTTGTAAGGCTATCACAAATTCCTATTGTTCACTAATACCAACATGAAGCATCTCTGTGCTAGGAGAGGAGGAGGCTAGAGGGCAGAAATTTCCTTGTCCAATTGAGCACATATAAAGTCTTCAAGAATAAAGAACATAGTCCAGCCGGCTTGGCTCAGTGGTTGAGCGTGGATAAAAGAACCAAGAAGTCATAGTTCGATTCCCAGTCAAGGCACATGCCTGGGTTGTGGGCTCAATTTCCAGCGTGGGGCATGCAGAAGGCAGCCAATCAATGATTCTCTCTCATCACTGATGCTTCTATCTCTCTTTCCCTCTCCCTTCCTCTCTCTGAAATCAATAAAAATATTTTTTTTTAAAAAACACATAAAATATTTCATTTAAAAAAATCTTACTCTTTGAAATTAAAAAAAGCAATATCTAATCAACAAAGGAAATTTTTTTTAATATATTTTATTGATTTTTCACAGAGAGGAAGGGTTAGGGATAGAGAGCTAGAAACATCGATGAGAGAGAAACATCGACCAGTTGCCTCCTGCACACCCCCTATTGGGGATGTGCCTGCAACCAATGTACATGCCCTTGACCGGAATCGAACCTGGGACCTTTCAGTCCGCAGACCGACGCTCTATCCACTGAGTCAAACCAGTTTTGGCAACAAAGGAAATTTTTTTAAAATATAATTACCAATATTTAAAATACCACTAATAAATTAATGGCAAACACTACAGAAATATACAGAAACAGAGCTATTTCTTAAATAATAAAATTAATTCTGCTACTTCTAAAAGTGTCTAATTTATAGAGTATCAGAATGGGCTGATAAAATCTTTCCTCGGCTTCTTACAGGACTGTCATGTGGCTCAAAATGTGAAGCACTCAAAAAATACCAGCATATCACAGTAAGGACATAACCAGTAACATTGAGCATTAGGATTCCAAGAAATTTTTTTTTATATATATTTTATTGATTTTGTACAGAGAGGAAAGGAGAGAGATAGAGAGTTAGAAACATCGATGAGAGAGAGTCATCGATCAGCTGCCTCTTGCACACCCCCCATTGGGGATGTGCCCGCAACCAAGGTACATGCCCTTGATCGGAATCGAACCCGGGACCCTTCAGTCCCCAAGCCGACGCTCTATCTATCCATTGAGCCAAACCAGTTTTGGCGGATTCCAAGAAATTTAATGAAAAATAAATATGAAAGAACAAATTAGCATGCAAAGGTGAGTTCTTATTCCTCCCCCTCTGCTCCCCTTCTCCTGGTTCTAGCCTCACCTCCACTGTTTAGCTTCCGGGACAGGAGCTCCACTTTTTCTTGCAACTTATCATAGACGGTTACGATCTGGGACACAGCTCGGCGGGAGGACTCCACCCGCTCCTGCAGTTGAGATTCTATCTCTTCACTGGAGCTACTGGCCAGAGTACCGAGGAAAGAGAAGGCTGGCTCTTGTCCTTCCCCTGAAGAGGGAAAAAGAAGCACCCCCCCTGAAATTAATCAACTTGAAATATCAAAACTCATTTTTCCTCTCAAATGGAAAGCCTCAAAGCAAGGCTCTTCAAAGAAAAATAAATAAAAAGAAATAATAATAATAATAATAATAATAATAAAAGCAAGCAGTGGAAAGTCCCTGGCAGTACTCACCTCTGTCCCGGTCATCTTTCCGTTCCTGATTGCTGTCAGAGTCCGGCTCTGGTTCAGGCACAATGAGGGCTTTTCTCTCTGTGAGAAGGTCCCCCAAACCCTGCTGCAGATCGTAACGTTTAAGGATGATACGGATGTTTTCATCGAACTGGAGAAGATTAGGAACAGTTATAAAAAAAACCAAAATGACACAAAGTTGGCAGTTATGACAAAACAAAGACACAACTTTGGAAATCAAGAGAGTGCTGCTCCACAGAACAAAAATGCTCAAATAAAAATCTGCGCAAACTAACAGTTAGCTACCTGACTCCAGTACCGATTGACAATCAAGAGGGAGGCATCGTCAGTGGCCTGTCTCCGTTCAAGTTTCTCAATGTGCTCCCGGAGCTCATCTTCAATGGTCTGCCGCTGATCCAGCATTTCTGCCAACTTGCGGTTTTTGGCTTGCAGTGTTCGAATGTCTGAATCCTCCTGCCCCAGGAAACCAATCTCATTAGTCTCCACAATGAAATTAGACAATCAGCTGTTGAATTCAACAAGGCCTTATTAGTTAGTTATTTCCTACAGATAAAGCTATTTCTTTATTAAAGATTTACAGTAAATAATTAGGTAAGTAGAAAGAGTGGAAGAAATAAAGGGTCTATGATGATGGGAGGAGAAAATGATACAAAGAAATATATTAGAACTCCACCTCACTCATCTCACTGTTCTATTCGAGTCCACGAAGTATTACTACTGTGAGGCCCCACCATCCTGCCAGGTCATCTCTACCCAGCCCCACAGTCCTCTGTCACCTAAGCACTACCCTTCATTCGCTCAAGACTTTGGAGCCTTCTCTATCCCAGGCCCTCAATATACATATGGACGTGTCCACATGTGAACAAGCCACATCCTCTAGCATCTAGGCTGAATTTTGGAGTCCTTAACTCCAATGATTCTTTCTTCTACTGTGCTTCAGTCATGCACTTCAAAAGCCACATCTTGGACTTTTGTCTGTAACCGTGCCACATCTCAAATCTTAAATTTCAACATTCCCAGGTATCTCACGCCCTATCCAAATACACCAACCTTCAACTAGATCGCCAACATTTTGAAAGTTCGCCTTTCTCCCTTTCAGTCTCCTCTGAATCTTCCATTCCTTGACTATACCCTACAGCAAGCATGACAAACTTTCGACCCACGACGAGTAGTTTTAAGGCCCATCCAATATAAGAATATATAAAAAATGTTTTAACAAAAACTTCATAACTTAATTTTTACAATATCCTGTTATACATAATTATTAGTAATGAACTACAATGTTCGCTAATAACTGATTACTATAAACGTGTTGCATTCATTTCCCTTACAGGCCTTAAGCACAGGTGTACCATTTATCTCTGCTAATACTAGCAACAAATATTTTAGCAGCTGCTTGCCACATCATTAGTCTTGTAATGACTTGTTTGGTGTACACAATAGGAAATATTTTGCTTTTGAAGAACAAGAAAAATAGGTTTATTTGCGTTATGCTTATTAATTTGTGCAGTTATTCAGTGTCTATTAAATTCATGTTTAAGAAAAAATATTAGTTTTTATTAAAATGTTCTATTATTTTATGTTAACAATTACTCATTTATTTCAGCCTTTGTATTCAGCATGTCTTTACCAAAATAAACCTATGTTTCTATGAAAATTTAAGCTTTTTTTTTTTTGTGTGTGTGTGTGTGTGTGTGTGTCCCACATAAAGTTAAACCTTGGTATTTGACCCATGTTAGCCTTTGAGTTTGACATGCTTGCCCTACACTACAGTATAGTCATTCAAACTGTCTATCAGGCGCCTCAATTCTCTTTGCTAATCCTTTCATTTCACCTCTGCAAACAAGCCCCAATCAGAATCAATCCACATATCTGACTATTCCTTTCCTGTACCCAGTATGCTGAGACTTCTAAATAAGGTTATTAAATCAAAGAGACTGCTGCCTTTATAAAATAAATTCCTAACCTGAATAGATTTTGAAATTTCTCTGGAAGTGTTTAACAAGGGAGCTACCTCCTACAATATTCTCCATCAAAACAATATCAAACTACCAAGTCCTGCCTCCTCTCACGTCACACTAAGCAGATGACTCTGCTTCCCACTTTAAAGATAAAACAAAAGGCATCCGATCGGAAGCTCCTAAATTCCCCATCTCCTTGACCCCTTCATACCACTAACCAACCTGTGCACATATTCTTAAACCTCAACTTGGGCTAAGAAACTTTTCTGCAATGACATCACTCCATCTGTAATTCCACAGTCCTGACAATATTTTTAACTTGTCTCTCTCTAGCTCCTTCCCTAGAATGGGGGGGGGGGGGGGGGGGGGGGGGAGAGCAGCATTCCAGGTCAAGAAACAGGATTGAAAAGGGGATTTTTACTTTATCTAGGAATTAATGAATATTTTAAGGTAAGAAAAAACTATTTATTAGAGAACCAATTTCTTGTTTTTCTTCTCTCTTCCATATTTGTTAAAAACGTTCTTTTAAAAATATATATTTTATTATTTTTTTACAAAGAGGAAGGGGAGAGATAAAGAGTCAGAAACATGGATGAAAGAGAAACATCAATCAGCTGCCTCCTGCACCCCCCACCCCTCCAGGGATGTGCCTGCAACCAAGGTACATGACCTTGACTGGAATCGAATCTGGGACCCTTCAGTCAGGCAATCAGAGCCAAACCAGTTAGGGAAAAACATTTTTTTTTAATATATTTTGATTTTTTACAGAGAGGAAGAGAGAGGGATAGAGAGTCAGAAATATGGATGAGAGAGAAACATCGATCAGCTGCCTCCTGCACAACCCCCACTGGGGATGTGCCTACAACCAAGGTACATGTTCTAGACCAGAATCGAACCCGAGACCCTTCAATCCACATGCCGACGCTCATTCTTGATATACTAAGAGAGTCAATAGTTTCCCAATGTGTCAGTTTATTAACTGTCAATAAACTATATCTTCAACCTCTTTTCTGAGCATTTCTTCCCCCTCTTGTGTAATTGAAACCTGGATAAAAAAACCATTTCCCCATCGGCTTCTTCGGTAGTGACTGTTTCTCTCCCACCCCCCTTAGAGCCCTGGATCTAAAGACAGGGAGGCATTCTCCTTGTTCCCCACTGCCACTCCAGGCCATTATCCCACTTTCTTCCCTGAAACCTCCCAGCTCTGCAGAATCCATGCCATTGGTCTGTATCACCTGCCACCCTGCCTGCTGCACTCATCTATATATGCCCAGGTTACTTCCCGACATTTCCTAAAGACTTAGCACTGGATTATCATAGCTCTGCAATACTGACTCCTGTCCAAGTTCTTACTGATTTCAGTTCCCACAGTGATGATCTTTCCTATGAATTCTGGACCAAGTCATTGGCTCCTCTCTTCCAGTGATCTGGTCCCTTATTTCCCTCACTCCCCAAACTCTGTTAGTCCTAGCTGTACCTGTATGTTCTCTATAAGATCAATTCAAACACCCCATTCTCCAGTTACCACCCATATTCCAGCTAACTCTCCCTAGTTTCCCGACTGCAACAATTCTTCATTTCCTCCAGGATCTACAATCTATTGGTTCTATACTTTTTGATATCCTTCATTCCTCGCACTTCCTCAATTCCTTCTGTATCACACTTAAATTATGTCATTAGTCATTATAATCATGCCCTTTTATAACAGTTCTCCTTCATCATACTTGCCTGGTAAAAACCCCAATCTTGGTAACATCCAACTCTGAACCTATTCCACACAGGCCTACCTCCACACAGCTGAATGTGACTAGAGAAAAGAAAGCACCATGCTGATTGCTCTCATTTTAAACTCATGATCACAAATTCAAGAAGATCCTCATTGCTGCACAGCAACCCTACTCCACCTCTCTAGTTCATTCTCTTCAACTACTTCATACCTTCTCCTGTCTCTTCAAACCTCCAAACATCCTCCCCCATCCTCACTCTCAGATGAGTCTTGCTTTTGATTTCACTGGAGAAAAAAAAAAAAGAAAAAATAGAAGCAATCAAAAGAAAACATTCACACCTATCTCCCATAGCAACAACTGCTGACCTCTCTACTACTATATATCTATCCCTTTCCTCCTCCTTGTTAGTAACTGCGCCAGTTAAGGTCAATTCCCCCATCCTTCTATTCAAAGAAATCACACAAGTAACTGTCTCCTCTTTCCACCACATCATCCATTTTTATCTTCTTTCTTTATAGAGTCATTTCATTTACAAACATGCTATATCTCCTACAAAAAAAGAAAAAGAAACAAAAAGCCCTTCCCTTAACCTTACATTTTCCTCTGGATACTGCCGCACTTTCTATTTTATATCAATACTCCTCCAAAAACACTGTCTTTACCTTCTTTTCCTTAATTCCTCTTTATGTTCTCTTAAGCTCAGTGCAACCAGGCTTCAATCATCACCACTCCATGAACACAGTTCCTGCCAAGTCTCCAGTGAGTTTAAGGCTAAATTACCACTCAGTCCCCGCCTTACACAACCCATCAGCAGCACCTGATCAAGTCCTTCCAGGAACACTTTCTTCCCTTGGCTTCTGGGACCCCTCTCCCTGGTTCTCCTGCTTCACTGGCCCCTCTTTTTCTGCCTCTTTGGTTAATCCCTTCTCATTCCTTGACATTAAAATGTTGCAGTGCTCCAGGCCTCCGTCTCAGATCTCTTATTTATACTCATTCCTTAGAGCAGTGGTCGACAAATTCATTAGTCAACAGAGCCAAATATCAACAGTACAACGATTAAAATTTGAGAGCCAAATTTTTTAAACTTAAACTTCTTCTAAAATAGACTCGCCCAGGCCGTGGTATTTTGTGGAAGAGCCACACTCAAGGGGACAAAGACCGCATATGGCTCGCAAGCCGCAGTTTGCCGACCACGGCCTTAGAGGACAGCCTCTAGCCTCATGGACTTATCTACCTCTCCCAGACTGCATATTGCTACGTCCAACTACCTATTCACTCAGAGGTCTAATAGTTATCTCAAACCTACATATCCAAAATTAAAATTATGATTCATCCTCCTCTGCTCCTCACACTCTTCCCTAGCTCAGTAAGTGGAAACACCGTGCTTCCAAAAATCCCAGGGTCACCTGCTGCCCTTCTCTCAGATGCTTCATCTGATCCATAAGCATATCTTGTCAACACTACTTCCACAGCAGTCCAACCACCATGATCCCGCATCAAGATTACTGCAATAGCTTCCTGTAGCAGGCACTTTAGTGCCCATGCCATCTCCCATCAGCCTCCCAAATTCAGCACAGCTGTGGTGGACAGCTCCATTCACACTTAGTGTTTCCACTGCAAGCACACTTTGGAGTCTTAGTTACTTCCCTGCTGAAGACTTTCCAATGGCCCCTCACTGTCTTCTGGATAAAGTCCAAACTGGAATGTGTTCCTTGCTTCCCTTAGAACAGTGGTCAGCAAACTGCGGCTCGAGAGCCACATGCAGCTCTTTGGCCAGCTTAGGAGTATCTTAAATAAGTTAATAACAATGTACCTATATATAATTTCAGTTTAAAAAAATTGGCACTCAAGAGAAATTTCAATTGTACTGTTGATATTTGCCTCTGTTGACGAATGAGTTTGCCGACCACTGCCTTAGAACATGTGGCTATCCTTAAGAACAGCACACATTTTCTAAGAGTCTGTTCCCTTGTCAGTGCCACCCTACAAACTATAGTCCAGGAGCTATGCTCAATGTAAAGCACAGTGTCTGGCAAATAAGAGATGCTTAACAAATATTCACATTTATTGAATGAATAAACATCTTTGGGATACATGTGAGATAGCACTAGGACAAAATCCCCTTCTGCAGCAGTACTTGAACCCCAGACAGAGTTGGAAATGACACTTCATCAGTTTACTCTGAATGCTCCTATTAGTCTCTCTGATCCTCAGCCTCCATTCAAATAAATAACAGATGTGGCTTCATAAGCTATCAAATGCAAAGCATTCTAATATCATATCCCCATGGCTGAGTTCCAAAATACAGACTCGACTCTTAATCTAAACCAAAACTCATTATAGTGAGTTTCTGATGTCCAATAGACACATTACTGTTAACATTTGGAATACAACAGTCTAATGAAAATGTCAACTTTGTCAACTTCATAAGAACAAGGGCAGTTTTATTGACCAATATTTTCAGAATATCTGGCCCAATAATAACCATTAATAGCTCAAATGTACTGAGTACTTACCATATTAAAGGTAGTATTTTAATCCTTAACAAGGACTTTCGTTTTATCCTTTCAATAGCCCAATGGGATAGGTATTTATAAGTACATTCTGCAGACAAGGAAACAAGAGGCCCAGAGAGGCTAACACAAGGCCATGCAGCCAGAAGTGATGGAACTGAGAGTCAATTCCAGGCCGTCGGGCTTCCAACTCTGAGTCTTCACTCTTTCCATGATTTTGCTATATTATCTCTTAGTACCTGGCACCTAATTTTTCGGTGAGTGAAAAATGAATGTAGTTTCCCACTGCTAAATACCTATCATCCACGTGTATGATGCACCAGATTCTCCAAAGAATATAAAAGCACACCTTTGGAAATAAAGATCAAATGTCAGTATCTCTTCTTCAGAACTGAACAGACCTACTTGCGGCTCTTTTATTTCCCTCTTTTTTTTTTTTTTTTTTTTTTTTTTCAAATCAGTTCCTCTTACTCCAGAAGGCCTCCAAAATTTCTTACTTTCAGGTGGTAACGGACAGAAGAAAAGCACCCTCTCATGGCATTGTTTCCACATACCGTTGAAGAGACACCCCCGAGCTTAATTGTTTCCACTGTGGTCCCTGAATCTTCAACGGCTGTCTTCTTCTCCGGAGGCAGGGAAGAGCCAGGCTCTCCAGCCATTCTCTTATTTCCAATTCCTGACATCCTGGCACAAGACAATAGCTGTTTTCCTGGAGGGGAAAAAAAAGACAGAAACTTCAGTAAGATATGCTAGGAAAGCAACAATATAGAGAGACACCTGTTATGTTAAAACTAGCCATTCTCCTGGCCAACCTTTCCACCTGCATCCTTAAACTCCACACCAACCATCACGCTCCCCAAATTCCTCTTGGAAAGAAAGACGCAAATTGTGGGAGCACGCTTGAGGGCTGAATCTACCCGACTACACATATCTACATAGGATGCTGGTAAGAAAAAAGATCCTGGGTGAAGGATGACGAGAAAAAAAAGAAAAAAAGAAAAAAAATATATATATATATCACTTCCTAAATGCCAGAATCAGAAAAACACAGTTTGAGACAAAAGTTAAGTCTACTGCGTTGGAAAAATCAGAGCTTAATACTAAGTCATTAACATTGGACGAGTCATTTATCATCTCTGAGCCTGTATTTCCTAAACCAGGAATAACAATGGTAGCATAAACTTCCTAATCCCGCCAGGACCGGTTTGGCTCAGTGGATTGAACGTCGGCCTGGGGACTGAAGGGTCCCGGGTTCGATTCCGATCAAGGGCATGTACCTTGGTTGCGGGCGCATCCCCAATAGGGGGTGTGCAAGAGGCAGCTGATCGATGATTCTCTCTCATCGATGTTTCTAACTCTATCCCTCTCTCTTCCTCTCTGTGAAAAATCAATAAAATATATTTAAAAAAAAAAAAAAACCTTCCTAATCCCCTTATAAGGAATAAACACGCAGAGAAAAAACTTAGCATAAAGCCTGCCATGGAGTATGTTCTCAGAAGTGCTACCTCTCCTTTTTATGGGTGCAGTTTCTCTCCTATTTCCAAATGCTCTCCCCCGGATTTTCTGCAACCCGAAAGAAGCTAGACCTCGGTGCACATTCCAGTGCTACCTTTAGGGCGCCGTGATGCCTTGAAAGAGCAAGTTCTTGAGCTTCATTTTTGCTCTTACGCACAAGGGAAGCGAACACGAATTTTGTCTGTCCTGTCTCCCAGGGTTCCCGAGCTCAAAGGAAGCAGAATGGATGCCAAAGCGCTTTGCCACTTTAGAAAGCGGCCCTGCCATCACCGAGCCTACACACTACCTCCCAGTCAGGCTCCTTGGGGAGGGGTATCGGCGGGCCCTCGCGTGGAGAGAGAGGAGGAGCTGGTGGGCAGGACAAGGGCCTCCATCTCCCTCGCGGGCGGCCAAGGACCCAAGCTCCGCCGGTGCGGGCAAATGCAGGCCCCGGAGAAGGAGGCCCCGAGCCGGAGAGGGAGGAGGTTCCCGGCGGCCCGCACAACCCATCGCGCCCTCGGCCGAGCTCTAACCTGGCTTCTTCCCAATCGCGACGCCCGAGAGCAGAACTCCGGGGACTTCCTCTCCAACGTCCACGGAGCCCTCCCACCTCTCACCCCCGACCCGCAGGCGCTGACCCAGCGGAACTTCCGGGGGCGGGGCCAAATAAAAGGAAGAGGGGGGGGGGAAAGAGGGCGTCGCTTCAACCAGCGGGAGGAAGTGACGTAAGGGGGCGGGCGCTGAGCGCCCGGAAATAGGCGCCGTCACTCTGGCAACGCAAGGGATTGGGCGGTCCGCTGAGAGCTCTAGTTGTACCCCGGCCTCTCTGATGATGGGGAGCGTGCCCCTGGCTTTTTTTTTTTTTTTTTTTTTTTTTTTGGCTCGTTGGCCTCGTAAGGCAACCTGGTGTTTCTAATAAATTGCCTTGTCCTGTTGCCCGTTACTGCCTGCACCGAGACTCGTTCAGGTTGCCGATTGGCTGAGGGTCCTGTCAGTCTCCGAGCTGGAAAAAAAAAATAGCCTCAGACCCGGGAAAAAATGTTAACAGGGAGCCGTGAAAATGCAAGGGATTTTTATGGGTGTCTAGGCTTGTAGATTCTTCTTACAGGGAACTACACATACACCCTGCCTAGACATTGAAACACTTGGGGGGTTTTGGTGTCTGTAGGGTCGGTCCTGGACGCTGACACTTCTCAAAAAGCATTCCTCAACCCCATCCTAACCCCCAAGATTATAAGGTGCAAACAGTATTGACAATTACTGTTTCTGTGCTTCTTTGGGACAAGAAAATTATTGAGGGAAACGATAAGAAACACAATAGTTTCTGTTCTCTGATTTCAACACATTAGCCTATTTTAAGCTAATTAAGCATTGCTTTTTTTTTGGTGAATAAAGTGCTATTTCCTATTCAATTAAACTAAATGTTTTCATGATAGGGAGCTAATCAACCTCACATCCATGAAAAGCTGTATGCCTTGCAGAACTATGTAAAACTGCCCAATGACATCAGATAGAGGTCCAGAGATGTAAGAGTAATTGCTATATTTAAAGACAAAACGACAACAAAAAACCAAGTGGAATTTAGGCATCTTTTGTGGGGGGGAAAATAATCCATACTGGATTTCTAATAGTGGGAAGACTTTGGTCCCTGAGCCTGCTGGATCTTACCTATGGATAAGTAAGAAGGTAAACAATAGGAAAACAAGTGTTCATGGTTCCAGGTACTAGCCTGGAAATACGTGGTTCCAAGTGGACTTCACATTTTGTCAGGGAAAGCAGAAGCCTGAACTGTGTTTGAGGACCCATCTGCCGGACTGCTATTGGCAAACCTTACCTCTTCAGAACACTGAATGACAAGCAAAAGTCTTCTAGCCCAAAGTTGTAAGCAAGAGGTCACAGGCTGTCTTCGGTCAACAGATATGCTTTGTTTATTTTGAACAGTATTAGCTGCCTTTTGTGGTTAAAAACAAAAACTGACTTTGTCAACAACATTTAAAATCAGACATTTTACATAAAAGTCCTCATTATCAAATTCTCTTGAAAGTATGGAAGATCTAGCAGCACTGGGCTTATATTCTTGCATGGCCACATTGCCTGGAGCTGAATAGTGCTTCCATTTTTGTTCCTGTTTACTAAAATCCCCACTATTATCAATTTCCTCAGACGAGTTGAGTTTCATTTGAGAATCATCACCTCAAATGAAATTGCGTTGTATTGAGATAAATAAATTGTTGATACTAAGGGAATTTATTTATGCCTACCTGGCATCCATTCTCCCTATCTTACCTCTCAACAGAACACAACCAGGATTTTATTCATGTGTCCATTCAGCTCCCTTCATTCTGTATGTCTCTGGCGAAGCTGACTTCAATTATATCTCCAAGGAATGTGTTAGCACAAATAGTAAGCTCCATTCCCCAAGCCAAAGTCCTAGTAGTAAAAATGGACAGTTTAATCAGAGTGAATTGCTTGCTATAGTAGGACTAAAGCAATTTACTTATCTTCTGAATTCTTAAAATATATTTTTTTTTAAAGAGAGGAATGGAGAGTTTGAAACATCAATGAAAGAGAAATATCAATCAGCTGTCTCCTGCACACCTCCTACTGGGGATGTGTCTACAACCAAGGTACATGCCCTTGACCCGAATCGAACCTGGGACCCTTCAGTCCGCATGCCAACGCTATCCACTGAGCCAAACCGGTTAGGGCCTTCTGAATTTTTTATATGAAGCCCAAAACGGTTGGAGCCTAATGAAACCAACACAGAGGTGGACAGAACTAAGAAACAGCTCAGGGAAATGGGGCCAGATCAATTTAGAATACCCCTACACTTGAACACACACTTCAGAATGCTAGAGAAGATACTGAGAAGAGAGCATATCTTCATTTCTCACCATATAGATAACCATAGTCTCCAGCTATTGCTGAGGCCTATGTTTTCCAAAAGCCCTAATCAGCCATTCGATGCCTTTCCCAATAGCCTCTCCTGATCCAGAGAGGTAGCTTCACCCAGAGAATTGGGAAAATGGGAGAGATGAAGGGTAGGGTGGCAGAAAATTCTCTCATTGACACATCCCCCATTTCCTACCTGTCACCACCTGTTCACCATCTTATTCGAGAGAGAAAAAGAATAACTCTGGAAAAATAAGTTTCTCTCTCACACATAAATGGCAGAATAGCGTTTGCTATGCTAAAAGAATATTTAATATTTTATATCACTTGTCTTTGAAAGTTCTCATTGCTGGTTTCAACAGCATTATAAATTTTAAGTAATAATATTTTTAAAGGAAAAGGCATTCGTAATTCAACTGATTTTAATATTTGTCAAGGGATCCATCTGTAGGCTTGCAAACCCTCTTCATTAGCTACACAGTTGTGCCACAAGGTGGCAGCAGACAATATGCATTCCTCCCAGTTCTCTTTCTAAAGCTTTTGGTTCAGAGTGTTGCTGTCAGGCTTCTGTCTTTTTTCTTTTTTCTTTTTTTTTTATATATCTTTATTGATTTCAGAGAGGAAGGGAGAGGGAGAGAGAGAGAGAGATAGAAACATCAGTAATAAGAGAGAACGTGCCCGATCTCATCTGATCTCAGAAGCTAAGCAGGGTTGGGCGTGGTTAGTACTTGGATGGGAGAGAGAATCTATGATCAGCTGCAAGAGAGAATTATTGATCAGCTGCCTCCTGCACAACCCCCACTGGGAATCGAGCCCCCTTTTCCAACATTTTAAATAATAGTACTAGGGACCGAATTGTACCTTCTTCAAACTCATATGTTGTGGGGAAACACGGGACTTGGTTGGAAAGTCTGTAAGGAGGATTCTCTGAAAGGCCAGGGGGGACCTTGCTGAAGGCAGCAATCCCTGCCTTGACATTTCCAAACAAGTCTGAGCCCCCAGTGTTTTGCTGGAATCTCTCTGATTAGTCTTTAGTCTTGTAGAAGCATGTGCTTTCTCAAGCATACTTACCCTGCTGATTGTATCTAGTTTAAGCTGTTGTTACAATAAAAGCCTAAGGAGGCAAACAATTGGGGCTGTTTTGGTTCCTTATGCCAACCAGCCCCTTAGCCTTCTCTTTCATAGAAATGTGTGTCAGAGTCCTCCATTCATCCATCGCTCAGGCTCTGCTGATCAGTCCTGGCAATATGTGATTTCCAATGTGACGATATTTAGAGATGGAGCCCATGGAAAGAGC